TTTTGGTTTTGGTGTTGCTTTTGGCTGATAAACAGCTGTGTTGGGTTGTGTTTTGGTTAATAATACACAGATGGCAGCATGTTTGCCCCGCGACTTTTGTTTTGTTTGACAGGCCCGCGAGAAAAACTGAGGGGACGAATAACGAACATTTGTTACGAAAAGATTGCATTTTTAAATGGAATTTCAAGACACTCCACTTTGGATGTATTTATTTTTGTTCAATTTATGCATTTTATATAGCTCCCTGGCCATATATCTCTCTCTCTCTCTCTCTCTGTCAGAGCAGAGACCCGACGAGAAACACTCTGCTGACATTTGAAGGTTGCCTGCCCCGGCTCGGTTCACAGTCTCAGACTTCATTATAGCCATGTGCAAGTGCTTGAGTACTGTGCGTTACAGCACTGTAAGACAGCTTCAATGTCAACTATCAACGATCAACGAACGCTGATCAGATCTCAGCAAAGATAAGATCATAAAAGTATTAAATACTTGGAGCAATTATTCAATAGGAGATTGAGGAGATTCTTTGATCTATCTTTCCCCCTTGGGAATCTTCCTTAAATTACCCTACACTTTTGATACGCACTGTCCGCTAGTGTACTCATAAAAATTCAAAGATGGAAATCGATTCTCTCTCGATCAATGCCGTACCTCTAATTGGATGGAAATTGTATACATTTCTATTGATAATAAGTACTTACTGTTCCAACAGTGCCAGCAAGCGATACGGAATCATTATAATATAAGCATCATTTCCATAGCAACAATGATCCAAGAGCCATTACTTTATTCGACTTTATTTTGCTTGGCACAAAAATAAAAATTTTGTTTGCGTTTTTGTCTGTTTTTTATTTAGATAAAATCGAATCGGAGGAGTAAAAAGAATCGACGGGCACACAAAAAGAAAGGGTATTCGAATGATCCAGGTGTCCAATGAATCATCTTTGATCTTTTTGTTGCTTGTGGGAGTTCTCTAACGATCCAAATCAATCAAGCCCGAGTTGACCTTGAGTGGTGGGTCTGCTACGCCTTAGCCCCACCAACTAATGATGCTTAAATTGGGCTATAATATAATAATAGATCTCCAGCTATTCCCCCATCTATTTCACTCCCGCTGTTTTTGTTTTGGCATTTGCAATGACCCAATTCCGTTCGAAGAGAGCTGCTGGCCACGCTTTCCCATTCCGAACTCTCCGCCGCAAGGCGGTGGGGGGAGAAATAATTAATCAGAGAAATAGAGCTTAAGTTTCACTCAGGCAGAGGTCAGGCGGTGGCGGCATCGAGCAGAAGAAGAACGAGCCCCGAAGATCAATCGGGTGGTGGGAACGGAACGAACGATTGAATGAACAACTGCAGGGCATTGTATTCAAATCAAGCCGATAAATAATCGTTTAGCGAATCGGGAACAGACACGGAGCAGAGCGGACATTATGTCAGCGGCGAGTGCAGTGGCAGTGGCTGTGGCAGCGGCTGGGCTGCCAGCGAAAGCGAAAGTGTGTCAGTGTAAAAGAGAGAGAAAAGGTTATGCAGAGAGAGGGAGAGAGAGAGAGAGAGAGAGATGCTGCTGAAGCGTAAAAGATTCTGTTAAAGTCGTTGTCACGGCGCATGCGTGCCGTGCCGTGCCGTGCCGCCTGCACTGCTCGGTGAAATGGAATGGAATGGAATGATCAGCAGCGGGAGCGAGGCAGATGGAGAGAGTGCACTCTCACAATGACAAACGGTGACTTTCACTAGAAAACGAAAGAAAACGAAACAAAACAAAAAGCAAACGACAAAAGCAAAGCTGATAACGAAGCTCTCCCGCGAGACTCTCCCGAAAGCTTGTCACTGCATCTGATGACTCTCGGTGTTGGGGCAGCATGAGTCACGAACTATCCAAAGATACGATGAGTGTGCCACTCACACGTGCCCCCAAAGATTCTGAGCGGCTTAAGTGCCCCCGCAGGCTGCAGGGGTAGGCGTAAATCGTCTAACCAAATGGCATTTGGTTTTTGCAAGGAAGTTATAAATTTGCTGCCAAATAGAATTGTGAGCGGCCATGCCGCAAAAGCGTTCATTAAAGTCAGCGTCCCCCCACAGCGGCATTAAAGAACGAGAAATGTGAGATGTGCCGAGCAGGAAGCAGATTCCGAATACCCTTTCGAAAGATAGTATGCCTGGAAAAGATTAGTTTTTCCTGCAATTAAAGCCACAAATATTTAATAGACTTTTTGCCCAGTGCCATGGAATATGTAATACACCCTTTTGGGGGTAAGAGTATCCAGAGATCGAAAGCCAGACAGACGCTAAGCTTCATTGAGGAAAACCTTTCGGGACGTGCGTGCACAATACTCAGGTTTTACGACCTTCCGCAACGCCCACATGGAAAGCGTCTGCCTGCACTGAGTGCACTGAGAGAAATGCAATTAGAGAACACTCGATCGGCGTGTGGCTGGCTGGCGGCGGTACGTACTGCAGACAAGGCTCACAGACATCAGTAGACGTCAACAAACGCCGACTTACTGCCCACACACACATTATATGTAGCATAGCACTGGCATGGTCTGTCTTTTAGCTGTTGCTCTGGCTCTGGTTCTGGCTCTGACTCTGGCTTTGGGTCCACAACTCCACATCCACCTCTGGGTAAGTAGGTAGAGTTGGAGGCAACCCCGACAGCCGCAATTAGAGAGGGAATATGCGAGTCGAGAGCCGAGCCGCAGGCGTGAGGGTGAGGTAATACTCTTGTATCCACTTGGCCAATGAACTCTTCTCGATTATGACACCAAACTCTTTTCTTTTAGGCTCAATTTGTTGAACTTTTGTCAATTGCCTTAATTAAGCTCTGCTGCTCTTTGGCATCGGGCAAGTGCTCCCTCTGCTGGACTGGTCTCTGGGCGGAAGTGGAGCAATGCAAAAACTGACCTCTTAACCGCCAGAGCAATGTTAATTACAATTGGGAGTGCGAGTCACATACCAGAGAGCTCTGGCCTTGTGGGCGGCACTATCACAAAGTCAATAATGTTTTGTATGGGGAATCTAATCAGCTGGTTTGCTGCCCCAGCCGCACTATCAGTATCTATTAGTTATTACACATATTTGTTGTTGGCAGTGTGGTGTGTCTATGTACATGTCTAAATAAATAAAAGATGAAAGAAAACCCCCCCGACCCAGTCGAATAAATGTCACATGAAAAACGTGACAGGGCAGGGGCAAGCCGGGACAGGGGACAGGGGACACAAGCCGCAGAGCCCAAAAAAGGTTTCTTCTGATCACAATCAATAACAATATCGAATGAACTCCGACTCCGAGGAGACTCCGATTGCAATGGCGACTCCCGTGGTGCTGCTTGTGGTTGCCTCCTGCCTCTTACCTCTTGTTCGGTTATGAAAGGTAACTCAAACTCAAAGACTTGACCTGCCCCCCTGCACTTGCAGCTACAGCAACAGACGAAAAGTATCTTCCTCCTTTAAGAGGCAGTATGTTTGTAGTATGTGTTTATTTTTCGAGTGCCAGTGAAAATTGAAGAGGCAAACAAACAGAGGGGCCGCAGACGTGGTGACATTTGATACCACATGCGGTCAACTGCTGGCAATGTCTTCCAACGGGTTCGTTCTACTAGTTATAAGGGAGCATCGGGAGTGAACCGTTCGGCACCGTTCCCCTGGCAGTCAACACGTTTGACTTTTCGACAGCACAACCAGAATGTTTAACTGTTTAAATAAACGAAATGTCAGGCCCTGGCCCTTGCATGTATGTAAGTGTTCATTATCTGGTAGAACTGTAACTGTAGCGCTGAAACGATAGTCTGACAACTTCCAAGCCCCTCTGTACGATCCGAATGATGATTCATTGGTGCCATACATGAATATATAATTGATATAGACACGATCAATCACGGAAGGCTCTGTTAAGGCAATGCAATCGTCGCTGTTAACGTGCATGCTGTTATCTTACATAGCCATAGCATGGCAAACGAAACGTGCAATAATACAAAAAAAAAAAAAACAAAAACAAAGTCAACAGAAAACACACGCACGCACACACACACACACATAAACACACACTCGAAGAACACTTATGACTAATGCACTAATTGAACGAAAGCTTTGCATTTGCCCTTCCATTTGTAGTTTAACGGAACGAAGTCTGACGGGCTATGGAATACCCACTATGTACTCATCAATCCACTTACTGTAATCTGACTGCAATATTTATTTAATCATGTGAAAGTTCTTGGCATTGATACTTTAAAGAATTATAGCTACAATACGCCTTAATCTTCGTTACGGATATATCAAACTGTTGCCAAAACACTCAACCACCACACCGATCAAAGGCAAATCAAAGTTATAAATATGTTAAAGTGGGTCAACAAACTGTTTGTTGTATTCGGCGGTATAGTGCGGCACCCGAGAGCATAAATTGCAAATCTCATGCAAAGCAACAAGACCTTATTTTCTTCAATTCAACCCGTTCCCGCATTTACCGCTCCCCTCCCCACCCCTCGCTGAACACAATTGTTATTTGGGTCAAAAGCCTGAAATTATGTATTATCATTAAATTTCATTACAGCCGACATTTCGAGCGCTTAAATAATGTCGAAAAGCAGAAAATGCAGAAACAAAGCGAACCCGTTACACCGAACCCAAGCGAAACTCCAAAAACTCCAAAAACTGCGAGCCACAATTCACGCAATGGTCCCCCCCCCACTTAGGGGGCTGGGATGGGATGAAATGGTATGGCATGGGATCGTACAGTGTACAGTTATGGGAACGAAACGTGCAGACCAGAGACCCCGAGAACAGAACCCAAATGCAATGGCAGCGGTGACCAAAGGAGCCAAACTCTTGATGGTGTCTTCTTATACGCATGTCCATATTGGGGCAAAGAAGACGTCGAGGCGCTACAGGAATGCGTAGAGCCCACCTCCCCCCCCCCCAACTGGCTTGGGTCCCAGTTGAGTCATCGGACAACGGCCATGGGCCATCCGCAAAAGAAGTTCAGTGATCCCTCCCGCTTACCAAAAAAGTCCTCCCATCTCTCGGAGGTGTCTGAATCCGATTCTATGTCCATCCTGGTCGGGGGTCTGGTCTGGCCTGCTCTTCCCCTCCTTCTGGGGGCCAAATACTTGATTTACAATCGTATATGGCCAGAAGGCCTTGTTCAGTTCACTTCAGTATGGATTGGTTTGGTTAGGTTGGCTCTAGCTTTGTCTAAATTTAGACAAAGATTGCAGAGCAACTGGCACTGGCACTGGGAATGGTTTTTTTCACTGTTGGTTGGTTGCTGCTGCTGCTGCTTCTGTTGCTGCTTCTCCTTGCAGCACTTTGCACTGGCGGCATTAGATATTTCCCGTAGATATGGGATATAGATATTGTATCTAGACTGGCGCTGACTAAAGGCCTTGTCAGAGCAGCCCACTCCACAGTCCGCGGGCGGTTCTAATATGGCTGCGCAAATGACTTCACCTCACTTCACCCAGGGCAGAACGCGGAATGGAGCGGAAAAGGCAAAGCCCAATCAATGGTCAGCCGATAAGATAATGCCGCGAGTTTTACTTTAAACACAACGCAAACTGTGCGATTTTCTTGGCCCGTTCGTTCTGTTGGTATTTCGCTCGATTCGCTAATCGGAGCGGAGCGGAGCGGAGCGTAGTTATCTTATCACCTGGCGGCTACACGGAGCTTCAGGGTAAAAGGCAGACAGGTAAGCAGCGCTCAAAGCTCGAAAAACAGCTGTTCTGGCTGGGAATGTATCTCACAAAGTTACGTTTTTAGCCAAGTTCCCCGACCCCCGCCAGTGGGATTCTCGGAACTCGCGGATGACTAAACCGGCTCACGGAACGGAACGCGTTGGTATTGTTAGAATTTGCTGTTTGCTCAACTCGACTCGATTCGATTCTATTTGTTTGCACTGGCAGCCACTTATTTGTTAGATTCTCCTACACTTGCCACACACGAGGATCGGATCGGATCGGATCTGTTTGGTTTTGTTTGGTTTTGGCTTGGATGGGATCGCTGCAGGTTGATGGGATCGCTGATTGAATTAAATTGATCATTATTCTTCGTCTTGCCTTCGCTTCGTGTTTTGGTTTGGATTTGGGGAGGCGGGAGAGGCACACACACTTGTTGCGCAAAGCAGAGCCGAAACAACGAAACGGAACGGAACGAACAGAAACGAAATCAAGAAAACCGAAAATTCACAAATTACAGATACAAATGTATCTTAGAGTGTGCACTCTGCGTTGGGGTGCCGGGCGCGCTTCGTTGATTTTCCAGTTTCTCCCGTGCAACCGTTACTTCTAATTGACGAATATAAAACACACACACACACGGGGGAGAACGCACGCATGCGCCTTGAACGGCACTGCAAAGATTGAAGAATGCATTTTTGCGCAATATGGAAACTGCACCGGCACAGCACGATCGCTCAATGCGCGCAATTCAAAAGTCGAAACGAAATGTCAACGGAACGATCTGTTGCTTCATTGTTCGCGGCAAAAAGTGTGTAAGTTTAATTTTGGCGCTTCTATCAAATGTTGCTGGGGGGCCTAAAAATGCTGCTCGCAACAAACGTCTGGTGCTGACAGGAAAAAAAAAGGTATGGAGCACAGGCAAAGCGGCCCAGAAATATAACGCATGCAAGGCTCGGCTCACCCTTTTCTCAACATACTATGCACTCGTTAAAAATTACAGCATATTTGTACCAAAGGTGAGGTGAGGTTTTTCCAGCTGCATGGTCTATCACCCACCTTTTTGGCAGCACATATATAAATCGTTTAAATTATTATTAAATTTCGCTGATTATAATTAGAGAATTTAGTTGTCACAAATAATTGCGCTGCGCTTAGAGCTCAGCCGAGTCTACTCCCGTCCAACAGTTGTGCCAATGCGAGATGATTACCCACAAGTAGTATGTCTCCACTGTGGGTGAAAGGAATTAATATCCAGGCAATAGGCAAAGAAGTCTTAGGAAGGGACTTACGTATAATCATGACAATCCATAGCATGAGTTGTACACGGTTCGTGCTGCCGGCAAAACCGACAATGAGTATGGCCAGCAGCAAGAAAACACAAACCACACTGACAGCGAAGGACACGAGAAGGCTCCAGCACAAGTGCTGTGGGTAATCGTTTGCCAATCTATAGATATTCACATATAATAAAATGCTTGAAAACTCACCCACATCGTGCCCAATAACAGCAGCACCTTCGCCGCCAAGTACAACAAGGCGAAAACAGCGGCAATCGTCCAAACCGTTTCTTGTTTTGATTGCAGAAAAAGCTTACACATGGCAATGGTAAGGGCCACGACCCCAATGATCAGCCCTGTTACGCCTATTATAAGGCATCCGAAGTACAAAGAAAGCAGAAAGAAAAAGGAGCTTAAAAACAACATATTTCAAGAAATTACAGTAACAATTTTCACTTGTGTTTGAGTATAAGCTAAACGCACAATTTTTTGTCTCTCAGATCGAAAAACGCTGACACGAGTTTGTTTTGGTTATTTTCAATTTTAAGCGCGCGCTAATAGGTCGCATGTACTGCAATCGATGTGCAACATCGATAACTATATATCGATGTATCAAATCTAATCAGAATCACGTTTCCGCGTTTATTTATTTACGTATTTTGGTTAAAACAAACTGCCGGCGAAACCCCGGCAGCCCTGCTCGCTCCTCCACACATGCTATGCTGGTCGTGCATCCCGGCACGTGGACATAATAAGAGAGCATAAATAACCAATCCTGGACAAGATCTGATCTGAAGATGTCTATCTAGCCAAAATGGCCATTGACTAGAGCAAAATATTTGAAAATAATGGACACATGTGGATCCCCACCACCTGTTAAACGCAACAGGCAAAGCCCCACCGACGACGAGGATAGCGTAGAAATCCGTGCCGTTCTGTCCCATGAATACAATGAGATAGCCCTCATCAAGGTCCACAGTTGCCAGCTGGAGACGAAACAGCAACTGCAGTCAGTAATCCAGGAGCTCTCCCAGAAACTGCCCCGCTTCCAGCACTTGAAGCGCGTCCACGACCGCAATGTACTCATCTGCCCAACGTCGGACGTTGGCGGTGCGGAGAGCTTGGAGGAGCATTTGCAGCGGTACGCCTTCTCCGCACATGTACTGCGGGCCCTCTGCCACCAGGTGAAGGTCGTCGAGGTGCCCGCCCGCATGCCCAAGCTGCGCGTGCAATACGAACAGATGATCCAGCACTGGCCCTGCAAGTTCCATCCGAATCACTACTCGGAGTCGCTGCGAAATGGCAGCAACTTCTCGATCAGTCAGCGCATCTTCCACAAGCGCATGGGGCAACTACTGACTAAACTCTCCACGGATGTGAATAAGGACAGGCCAGTGGGCATCTGTGTGGATCCGCGCCAGCCTAGCATTGTGTCCATCGCTGGTGCCAGCGAATCCTCCAGCGCCGACGGACATGAACATTGCAGCATGCTGCTGGTGGATTTCGTGGCGCGCAGTCAGCAAGGAGGAGCATTGAGGAGCAACCTCAGCTTTGTCGAGGACCAAGAGAATACCAAAACAACGCTACGAGGGCTGCCCAAGGCATACTACGACTACTTGAAAAAGAACGAGGCGTACCAGGATCTGAAATTCGGAGCAGAGATATCCAGAAAGGGTCAGCCGCAGCAGCAAATGTCGGAGGCAGAGCACGCACAAGGGGCCGATAATCTGGCCAAGTACGGACCGTACCTCTGCACAGGCTACGATGTGTATCTGCTGCAGGAGCCCTGCCTCATGTGCTCCATGGCCTTTGTGCACAGCCGGGCCAAGCGCATATTCTTCCTGCGGCCATCGGACAACGGCGCCCTGGTCACACGGTTCCAGCTGCACGCGGTCAAGGAGCTGAACCATCACTACGAGGTGTTCCAGTTCACCACAGACGGGAGTTTAACTTAACAAACACTTTGTTTAATGCACTCTACATGTTTTAGAATAAATTCTATAGAATAGTATCCATTTTGGGCGCTATTCTGGCTGCTCCCTGTCTAGTGGGAGTGGATATCAGACCCAGCAGCTGGCAGTCTGCTTCCAGGATGGTTATGTCCTTGGATGAGCCCAGGAACCTGGTGGACAGCTCCAGATCCTTGACACGCAAGCGAACGCGAGAGCCACGCACATAGTCACTGCAAAGAGATGTGCATCCAGGTCTATCATTTCGAAACGAATAAGTTTGGAGTCCACTGCACTTACCTGCCATTGCGAGCGGGCCGCGAGCACACACAGTGGAACTTCCAGCCGAAATCGATGTACAGATCATCCTCCACGACGTGAAAGATCTTGCCGCTCACCACCTTGCCTTCGGCACTGCCCAGCTGTTTAATCGAGAGATTATTACATAAACCCGGCGGATGCCTGGAGTGTCTACTTACATCTACGAACTTGGAGTTGCGCAGCAGGGAGGCAAAGGTTTGATTGTCCACCTGCGGCTCCTCTGGCGTTGCGGGAGCCGTGTACTTGTCAAAGGCACGGGCAAAGCCACCTTTGTTGCTGCTTTCTGATTGATCCTCAGAGGATGAAGGTCCAGCTTGGGTTTTTTCATTGCTGAAGGCACGTGTGGCCACCGACAGCTGCCGCCTGGAAGCGAAGGAGTTTGTCTGGAGCGCGGCTCGGCCAAGTTTGTGCAGCACGGACATCGTTTTAATTGATTATTGTTATTTTTATGAGAACAGCAATGAAAATTGGAAGAAAAAACAGAACAGCTGAGCAGTCGATTTATCGGTTTGTGCTATCGCACCCGAACGCCCATCTCTAAAATTACAAAACACGCTGTCCGTGGCGCCGGCATTTTACTATTTTATTACGAAATCAATTGTTAGAATTAATTAAATAACTTAAAAGATGATCCAGCAGCAGCGCCAACGCATTGAGTCCGCCGTGACGGAGATGATCGACGACATGGACAAGACACACCTACGAAAAATGCAGGTATGCGTGCCAGCCCAGTGGAAACAGACGGTAGTAACGACATTGTGACCCCCTTCCCAACAGAACGAAATGCACCTGTGTGCGGCGAAATGCTGCCAGGACGACACCTCCAGCGTGGACAGTGTGCAGCGGTGTGTGGACCGCTGCTCGACCCCCATGACACGGGCACAGAACTATGTCCAGCACGAGCTTGGCGAATTTCAGGGCAGGCTGCAGCGTTGCGTCATGGTAAGTCCCATAGCTGCGTCGAGAGTAAACCAGTAAACCATGTTAATCCCTTTCAACAGCAATGCAACGATGAGGTCAAAGTTAAAATGCCGCCCAGTCCCAGCGAGGATCAAATCGCCAAGTACACGGATCAGTTCGAGCGCTGTGCCATCCAATGTGTGGACAAGCATGTGGGTCTCATACCCAGCATGATGAAAACGATGAAGAAAGTTCTATCCAAGGGACCTGAGGCCATACCACAAGTTTAATTCGCTTGGGTCTGGTTGCATTTATCGCATTTCCCATTAGTTGTTGATTTCAATTTTCAATTTTACACTTTAGTACACAGTTCAAAATTTATGTTACCTCTTTCAATCACTAAGACAAATACATCAAATCCTGTTAGATAAACAAAAGCAAATTCTGAAATTCTGTCGTTATATCTGTACATAAATCCAAATTGTATTATTTTCGATCATCAAAATGGTGGAACAGCAGAAGAAGCGCTTGGAGAGCGCCCTTAGCGACATGATTGAGGATATGTACCGCACCCACTTGCGCCGCATGCAGGTGAGTGCAGCCGCCATCAGGCCTCAATCTCCCACTGAGATATTTTGAATATTCAAGTCCAAAATGCATCGGTGTGCTGCCCGTTGTTGCGACGACGACCGCGGAACGCTGGAGAGCGTACAGAACTGCATTGAGAAGTGTGCCGGACCCTTGATGGATGCTCAGGACTATCTGCAGCACGAGCTCGGTCAGTTCCAGAACCGCTTGCAGAACTGTGTGAAGGTACAAGCATGGTTTTGCACACTCGAATGATGCGTGATCAATAACAGCGCTGATATTCCGCAGGACTGCAACAGCGATGCTCGTTCGCGAATGCCGAGTAATCCCAATGACAAGGACATGAGCCGATCGCAGCATCTGTTCGAGCACTGCACCGGGAACTGTGTGGACAAGTACATCAACCTGTTGCCGGGCCTGCTAAAGTCTATTCGTCAGACCCTGGATCGTGGTCCGCCGAAGAGAACGAATTTGACTGCCCGCAGCCAAGACGCTTAGCTTTTTCCGTTGGCCCCCACACTGTATTCCACTTGCTCCAAATTATTGATCAAGCAAATCAAACTAAAACGGCATTAAAGGATTGTCAATAAGTCACTTATATATTGAATATTTGGTATAGCTTACACTAAAGATATGTACATTAAGGAAACACTCTCAGGATAAAGTAAAGGCTCTAAGTTCCTGCATGGGAGAGAGAGATCTCTCCAGTGGGTGCATACGTGGTCTCTCTCACTCTCTCTCTCTCTCTCTCCCCCTTAGGGCCCTCTCACACACTAAACATCTAACAATAAAGATTCTTAGCAATATACAACAATATACAACTGTATTTGGGGGGGATGCGGATGCGCAACTAGATTTCAGTTGGTCTATTGCTCATTCGGTTTTGTCCGGACGCCGTACTTGCTCCAGAACGTGACCTTGGCGGTGGTCTTTTTGCAGTTGTCCTGGAACACGGAGCACGTGTCGAAGGGTGGACAGTAGAGGTGCAGGGAAACGGAGGTGTCCGCGTGACTGGGATTCTCCACACGATGCAGACCCAAGTTATCTATTGAATCAAGAACAAAACGAATCAAACGATAAGTAAAGTCTGGGGGATTGCTCATCTGCTGGTACCCACCATTAATGTAGGCCACATCGTTGACGGCAATCGGCGTCTCGCCGATCTCCACCAGCTCCCGAGTGTCGATGTCCCCTTCGTGGCTATGCGGATGGCCGGTGTCTTTGCTGACATTGTTGTTGGGGCGATTGGGGTACTCGTAGCGCTTCTCGCGCAGATCCCCCTTCAGCATTTTCATGAAGCAGTGGGAATCGGCATGGTCGTGCACCGAGGAGCCGTGACCCTCGCCCCAGCATAGGATCAGCAGATTGAACTTTCCGTTGCCGGCATCGACCAGATTGCGGGTGTAGGTGTAACGATCGAATTTGGCGTATTTGCGCCACTCCTTGGGATTCGACTTGTAGGAGAGCATCAGGTGATTGACCATCTCGATGTTAACGTAGTTCGACTCGAACTCGCGGTGCAGAGCCGTAATTAGCTGGTCCATCGTCTCAATGACGGGCCCATACTTGAGGGGCTTCTCCAGGGCCTGATAGTAGTTGGTGGCCTGGCGCAGATACTTCTCCTGATCGACCTGCTCGATCTCCGCATCGATCTTGGACAGGGCCATTTTTGATTTGCTCTGATTGACCTGTGATAAGCAAATGGGAAATGGGAAGGGAAAATGCATCAGTCCCGCATGTTGAAGGGCATGGAAAACTACCGTCTAACTAACTTTAAGTGATTGATTTAAATGAATTACGTTGTATTGGATCGAACGCGCTGAGATTGTAGCCGATAGCTGATAGCTGATAACTGATTGCTGAACGCTGCCTCGAGTATTTTGTAAGTATTTCAATTAGCCGCTCGATGAGTAGATTCAAAAACGATCCCACACGCTCTACCTCAGATCACAATTCCAACTGAATGATTGTGCTCGCCGACGATGCCGCTGACACCACACAATTTCTGGAGATTTGTACTCTCCATCCTCCTCCTCTACCAGCGAGCATCTCCTGTCGCTATGTAATCTGCTGCCTTCGTACGTAGGTCTCAAACGAACGAAACAAAAAAACAATAACAATGCACACGATTATCGCCCCCTGGCATTATCAATAGCAGATTTGCCTATGTACGATCCGATCCAATCCCCCCCGTCTATATATAGTATATAATTAATACTTTATATAGGTTCTCGTAGAAATCAAATCGGAGGCTCAGCTCGGCTCGAATGTTGCCAGGAGCTCGCCCAACAGATGGTGTGCTGTGTGCCGAAAATTCTAGAGCAAAGGTTAATGCCGCTTAGCAAATAAAAAACAAATTTCTAGCTATCTCTTTGCGTTGATTGGTTGTTTTTAATGTGACCCACCATTCACTGATAGCCGGATAGCTCGGATTTGCTCGGATCGATCTGTTTGCTGTCGCATGGACGAAAATCGCGCGGTACTTTTTACGTGTTTTCGTGTTAATTCTACGGGTAATAACCAGATATTTTCCTGGAATTTCTTATCAACATATACCTCTGGGTATTTCCAACTAGGGAGAATCTCTGGGCTTTCTAATTCCGCTGGCAAAAGGCCAACTTTCACCGCAAATGGGGGCAAAGTTTGAGGGGTCATTTATTCATGATGAAAACTAATTAAAATCGAGACTAGAGTAAGGATATGGAAAATCGTTGCATACTTTCAGGTTGAACCCACATTTCCTTTAATTGTTGCAACTGATTTGGTTAACAACAACCCATTAAAAATAACTGACAAATCACCAGAAATCTCTTTGTGATTCAGGAAGTTCTTTCATGACTAAGACAAACACGCAACTGACCTTACTTTCTCCACAATAACAACAACAACACCAACAACTGAATAAACAAAGGTAATTAATATTTTTGGGGTATTTAGGTTTGACGCATGCAGCTGAAACTCTTCTTTTGTGCAACAATGTCATCAACTGAACTTGAAGTTGTATGGTAATAACATTTTATGGACAGTGTCCGTGCCCCTGTACACATGACTCTTGGCTCGAGTGCCACATCAGCAACATCATCATCATCATCAACATCATCATGGACACACACTTTTAGGTGAAATGGAATTTAAAAAATAACACATTTTGCAATGCCAGCTTGGCATCCGACTTTCGCAACAGGTTGAGGCCGGGCCAAAACAAAGCACAAACGGCGAAACCAACTACGTCAACATAAGGTCTAACAAACTGAATAGGAAATTGAAGCTACGAAATTGTCGAGGCTAGTGGTAGTGGTAATGCTGGTGGTTAATTTTCAAGTTCAACAAACTGCAATCATCTGACGTGCAGCATAGCATCAGCATCAGCATTGGGAAAGTGATCGGGTTGGATGCCAGGACTTACCATTTTGAATATATGTGTATTTATGTACTAATCACAGGTATTGAACAACTTTGAAACACTTTGAATGGCCGAATAATAGGAATAAGGATCGGGATTGCACTTTTCAGTTTTCAACTGATGTTTGGCTACCACTTGGATTCGCGCCTGATGGGTTTGTGTGCCAGTTTTGGATATCTTTCACCAATTTATGGAAATGACGGCCTGCAAAACATATTTTTCACTCAAAACGCAATTCGAGTGACATTTCGTTTGGCTCGGCAGCGGCGACAACGCCGGCGCAACGCCAGCGGCTCGAAAGTCATTTTGAGCGCTTTTTGTGACGGCGAGTGAAAACGCCAGCTTCGCATCGAGGTTTTTAGTTGTTGTTTGCTCAGTTGGTACCAAAAATGTATGCTGCCGACTCGACTGAGATATCTCTGCGCATTTCACTCGCTCAACTATTGATTATGTTGTTGTCTTTCTTCTTTTCGGCTTGAAAGAGATAGATGGGAGAGAGAGAGAGAGAGAAAGAGCCTTTTGCGGGCCGTTCTCGGGTTAGGGTTTCATCAGCCAAAGCCGTGCCGTGCCGTGCCTGCCTGGGGTCATATGATGAATTTTGAAATATTTACGGCCTCGGGCTGGGTGGCGGTGGCTGAATATGTCAAGTGTTAGCTGAGCTGACGATGTTTGTTTAGCTCGACACATTTGGCCTGGCTCTATTTAAAGCAATGAGTGACATACATGATTAATTCGAAGTAAATACAAGTATCTCCCATCCGAATGTCATTAGCAACATTCGAGGCTCAAAACTCAAAGATTGTACTCCATCGAAAGTCTGATTAGCATAGACCATCGTTGGCTCGTGGCTTTCTATACCCACCATTCTTCTCCAGTTTATTGACCTATGAACTATTATTCTTTCGCAGCATCTGTAAGCGCAACATTAGCATATTTCTAGCCAGATTTCATTCGCAAATGATTCTTCTTTGGTTAGGCTTTGTTTTTGTCGCCACGAATGATGCATCTAATAATGATTCCATTGACCAGACTGGTGTCATTATCGGAGCGTGTAAACAATATGTTGTTATTTGTGAACCGTAATATGGTGGGGATTTTTCATCTTTCCTGCCTGCTGTCCGCTGTCCACAGATCACAGCCATATCTGCGCATTTAAAACGATTGCTTCTTATCAGCAGCACAACATATTTGTGCAAGCAGCGGACAGTGGACTGGCGGCGAAGGAAATATATTCGGTTTTCACATACAATTGTATTTTATCGTTTGAAATGTTGTACAGATATAGAGAACACAATTTACTTAAGGACTAGTAGATAAAGCAGGCATACCATACATACATACATTTTGGTTTAGACATTGGACAACGCGTATAAATGCTTGGCTAAAGAAATAACTATAAATTCAGAATGAAGGAGTAGCTACTAATCCTCATCATCTTCGGACATATCGAACTCGGCATCATCAAAGTCGATTATCTATAAAAGTGGATATTTGCAGTAATTTGTACATCCGATTCGTTAAATGGGGTCACAAACCTCACTGTTCAGACGCTTGAACTCCGAAATGCCCGTCAGATCCTCCAGATATTTGGCTGTTTCAAAAGTTCTAAACAGAAAGGCATGTCCCTCGTTCTTAAATTCACTTAGAACTGCCTGTAAAATGGAGCGAGGGAAGTTGTATTGATACTTGAGAGCCGCTTTTTACTCTTACCGCTGAGCAGGCAATGCATTGGGCAAACTTCTGCGTGGCTGGCAGGATGTTCTCATAGTTGCAGAGCATTCCCCTCACGGAGTGCGGCAGGATGCCCAGCAGTCCTTCGGGGACCTTGCCGGAATTCTCACTCGTCTGCTGCCTGCCGGTTTGGGCGTAGTAGGCCGGGGCTAACTCCCGCTGGGGATGCTGGAGTAGGGCCACCAGCAGCTCCACCGCATAGCTGGCGGCGATGTTGGAGACGCCGGGTCGTGTCACGGTGCACTGTTGATCCAGAGTACGATCTTTGAGCGACTGGAAAGAGACAGACATACAGCGATAAATAAATGCTTTCACTCAACTGCATAAACGAGCTTGAAAGCTTCCCCCTCCAGGGCAGAGCTTTTCGAATGTCAACAAACGCAGCCGAAAACTTGGGACCAGCGGCCAAAGATGACGCCGCCGCCGCCACCACCGCCGACGTTCGGTAAGACACCTGAGCGTGCGAGAGCGCAATTTTTCTGTTTGATTAGTTAATAACAATTCTCGTACATTTAAAACAAAGTCAGGCGGCGAACGCAATGCCCAGTGGGGCGCTTGTGGTGCTTGTGCAACTGTTTTTCCCCACTGGGAACGGGCCCGAGCCAGTTTGCCGCTGATTAGATAAAGTTTCGGCTCTGAATTGGACACGCTCTCCGAAAGAAACCCTCTGATATTGTTTGCCATTGGTTCGGAGCGCTATAGTGCCAATTGAGAGCCTGAGAAGTTAGATTCCCGATTCGCGGACACCTCTAATAGAAAATTGAAAATAATGCTAACAGAATTCGCTGGTAACCTGTCGCATCCGCTGGAGTTTGGCCATGTGCTGGAGATCGTCGCCAAGACCATCGATGGGGCCGCCAGGTGAGTTCCGCTCCGCGTCAGCATAGCTGTACAGGAATACACATATCTTCTCAGTACACAGTACATGACTAATGGAATGTAGAGCAAGGTTCCTTATCGTTAGCTGCTGATATGACTAACGATCCAACTGAAATGCTTCTCCCCCGCCAGGTTCCACATAGACCTCGCCACGGCCAAGAGCACCGTGGATCCGGATGCGGACATTGGTCTGCACTTCTCCTGCTACTTCCGCAATGACACGATTGTGCGCAATGCCCGCGTGAATGGCGTCTGGGGCGAGGAGGAGTCGGCGGTTATGGACGCCGTAACGCTGCCGAATCCCATTGTGAGCGGCGAGTTCTTCATGGTCTACATTTTGGCCTGCGAGGATAGCTTTCACATTTCCATCAACAGTCGGGAGTTCTGCACGTTCCGATATCGCATGCCGCTGAGTGCCATTCGGGCTCTGGAGATACGCGACCAAATACAGGTGATCAAGCAGGTGGATCATCGCACCGTCTTCCCCAATCCGTGGCCCGCCATACACGCCTCGGACTACTTCAAGGCCTTCAGCAACGATCAGCCCATACTGTTCAGTCCGGGGCATGTGATCGTCCTAACGGCGCGCTGCTTCGAAAACAAGCGGGGCCAGTTCATCATCAAGTTCATGGATTCGGACACCAAGCGCGAGGAGTTGCACTTTAACGTACGCTTTGACGAGAAGCTGGTGGTGCGAAACTCCATGGGCAAGAACTTCGAGTAAGTGGGCAGAGTAGTCGCCTGTTTCCGGCATGTTTCTAACCACTCCAACGACAATTCCAGATTCGGAAACGAAGAGCGCCATGGGGGCTTTCCGTTCGTATTCAATCAGCAGTTCAAGCTGGCACTGGCCTTTACGGAACGCGAAGTTCTCACGGCTGTGGACGGTTACAACTTCTTCAGCTATGCCTGGCGCACGCCCAGCGCCATGATGAACTTGGTGGGCTTCAAAGTGACCTGCATAAAGGGCCTGGTTCTGCAGATAACTGGCGTGGACCACCTGCAGACGGGCGATCCCACGTGCACCGCCTTCGAGAAGTACTCGCGCCACGACTACGAGTGTGTCTAGAGCGGAGTCCATCGATTGTATGGTCTGACCATTGAACGAAGTCTGAAAATATATGTGCTAAACGTTAACCGAGTCCACTTACATTGCCGGGCGCCGTGACATCGTTGCAGAAGTAGCATCCCAGTTGATTGCCATTGATGCACTTTAGCCCCTCGATTTCGCGCCCACTGTCGCCGGCCACATCGCGCGTGCTGCCATGCCGCATCACCAAATAGCTGTCGAAGCCCAGCGCCGCATTGATGACTATCTGTAAAGGGTCAGAATGTTACGCTATTACTCTGCGTGGGCGAAGTTCAGTTCTCTCGTTTTGGTACCTTTTGGTACGCCGCTCCGAGCATTGTGGGTAGCCAGCGGCTCTCACGCGAATCGGTGAGCAGAAAGATGACATCATGCGCCTGCACTTGCTGCTCAATCAGCTGCAGGCTCTGCTCAGTCTGGGCACGCAACGACTCGCCGATGGTGTGGCCCGGCATGGGTATCTCCAGCACATGCCCCACGGTCTCGGCAGAAGGATTTATGTCGCGTAGTCTTAGGGCGGCTGTGGTGGCCTTCATCCGATTGCCCGCCACGGCGTCGGCATGCGTATAGAGGTTCTGGCGTACTGGATTGGAGAATCCCACCTTGCCGCTGTCCAGAAAAGTAATCCGTTTGAAGCCCCAAGACTACAATTAACCAATAATATTAAATGGCTCGGGGTTAGGGGAGTCGAAGAGTAGCTACCAGAAGATTGCGAGCCACTGCACAGCCCAAGGTTCCCGCGCCAAAGAGAAGGCATTTGGTTTGTGAAATAATCTCCAGATTTAAGTCTGGCACCAGCCGCCATTTCATCAGCTTCAAGTTGAGGTTAACAGAGTTCTCGGCCAGCCTGTAATTGAAGGTATATATATAAATAGTAAAATCCCTGAAGTCGTCAGCTTACTTGGCTGGATCCATGCTATCCCTCATGCACACCATTCGCGGACCCATTTTCCCATTCTTGTTCAGTTCCCAGCCAACAAATTTCACATCTTCGGTTTGGGTTAAGTCGCAGGCCTCGTTTTGAACTACATTCCATATCAGACTGTCGTCCATCTGCATTTGTTGGTTGTATCGAAGGCCCAGAAACCTGAGCGTTTTCCCAATGAAACTGGGACTAAGAAAGAGAATTAGAATTACAATTAGCATTTAAGGGACTACACTACTCACAATCGTTGCAGCAGAAAGGCAGCATAGTTCCGCATCAACCAAGCCGGATGCTCGTACTCGCTGGGATCGGCAAAGCCAAAATAATAGTGTTCAAGCTCCTTCTCATCCAGAGAACTCAAGCTGCGAGCCTCGACGACATCAGGCTGCTGATCGTTGGCATACAGGATGAAAAAGTTCTGCGATTCAGGGGATAGCGACTGCAGGGCTCCTACATATTTGCTGCTGTTCGACAGATCTTTAAGTCTCGTCACGCCTCCTTGCAGTTTAAGTGTGGGCGTCAGGGGACACGGAAAGGCGAACCAGTAGTAATAGCTGTGGCACTTGAGGTCCGCAAAGGACAGAACAAAGAAGCGAGTCAGCAGACTGGGATCACTCTCCACACGGTCGCTGCACATATCAGCCAACAGTTTCTTGCCCTCATCACAGAGCAGCGTCAGCTTGTCCAAGGCCTTGAACTCTTCAATTGTGTTTTTATTGTAGATTGTTCCAACGGCAGCATGACTAAACTTTGGGGGCTGCCCGGCACTGTGGATGGAAACGATGCGGGTTGAATTTGGATGCGGTAGCCTTCCACTAGCCTTGCCCTACCTATTGAACGATGTGTAATCCGCCTCCAAGAGACAGCCTGTGGCCTTTCTGTTTGTGTAGTGACCCGAAATGGGGCGTTGCGCATCCGACAAGCGATCGTAGTCCAATTTTAGTTCGGCCAGCTTGTGCCAGAATGTGGGCGAAACAAAGGACTCCCACGGAGCAAATTGCAATATATTTTCGCTGCCTGTTGCCATGTCGGGAGGTTTTCTGTTCAAATTTCTGGCTGCAAGAAAATAAACAAAGCAGTTCGATGGCTTTGTTACTATCGCTCGTTTCTATCGATACCCTGGTATTTTCGCTGCCGATAAACTGTTCTGATTGGACTTTAATTATTTCTGGGAAAAAAAAACAAACATTAAGGACAAGATGGATTTGCAACAACTGGAGGACGAGGCGCGGCAGGCTGCGCTCAAGGACATACAAAACATGCTGCAGCGTCCGGGGCAGCTAGAGAAAGTGGAGCAGTATCGCCACCGGATCGCCCGCAAGAAGGCATCCGTGGAGGCGTTGCTGAAGACCGGAATGCAAAACCAGCTTGATGGCGTACGGGTGGGGCTAAAGCAGCTGGTAACGTGTATGCAGGATGTGCGCGAGGTGCGCCGGCGGATGGATGAGGTGGAGCATCTGCTGCAGGGCGTGCCCGAGGTGTACGATGCCTTGGAAGTGGTGCGTGAGGAAAACACCAAACACTCGCAGTATGCCACGGCCATGGAGAACCTGAAGCACATCTTCAACGTGGACGCCAGTGTGCAGAAGACCATGGGACTCATCGACGAAGACAAGCTGCTGAATGCCCACCAGTGCCTGGCCGACCTGGAGAACTCCCGCGACGATCTGCTGTACGAGCTGCACAAGCAGCCGAAGCAGCATGCCTCCGACAAGATCACCCTGAAGCGTCACTTCGAGAAGGTGGACACCGTGTCGCAGGCGCTGGAGAAGAAGCTGCGTCTGATCCTCAGCCGCACCCTGAATACGGTGCGAAAGAAGCCAACCGTCATCGTGACCGCTCTCCGCATCATTGAGCGCGAGGAGAAGAACGACCAGTTTGCCTTGCAGCAGCAGAAGGTGACAGGCTTCCTGCCTCCCGGTCGCCCTAAGGCGTGGCGCAAGATGATCTTGGATGTGCTACAGTCGTCGGTCGCAACGCGTATCGAGGGCTCCAAGCTGGAAGAGCGTACTGACAACAAGATGTGGCTAGTCCGCGACCTAGAGATCCTTCGCCAGATCATCCTGGAGGATCTGCGCGTGGTAAAGTCGCTGTGCGTGCCCTGCTTTCCGCCCCACTACGATATATTCAGCGAGTACGTCAAGTTCTACCACGAAGGCCTCTCCAGCTATGTGAGTAATCCAATTCGGATCCGCTTGACCCTGGATCTAATACATTTTCCTTACAGCTGGACACCATTGTGCGATCCGGGCTGGAGGGCAACGAGTACGTCTCTATGCTGGCCTGGGTGACACACACGTATCCGGGAGCTGAGCTCATGTCGCATCCGGACCTCAATGTGGATGTGCACAAGCTGATTGGAACCCTGCTGCGACCCGAGCATCTCAAGGCGCTGGAGGACGAGTATCTGCAGAATATGCAGCGCAACTACCAGGAGTGGATGACCAAGGCAGCCGAAACGGAGAAGGTGGAGTGGTTCTCCGAGACGGTGCCGGACCAGGACGAGCACTACTACCACACCTCGGCGCCGGTGATCATCTTCCAGATGATCGACCAGCATCTGCAGGTCACAAACACCATACACCAGGAGCTGACGTTCAAGGCGCTCGTAATGAGCATACAGCAGGTGGAGATTTTCGGCCAGACCTACCTGAAGAACGTCATCGAGCTGAAGGAGCACCACTTCCGGAACCGGGATCAGATCAAGTACTTCACGCACTACATCATCACCATTGTGAACAACAGCCAGCAGATGGTGGAACTGGCGCAGCAGATGAAGCAGCTCTACTGGCCCAAGTCGCGCACGGAGCACTACGAGGACTTTGAGCGCCTGCTGGCCACCTTCCAGCGCATCCGAGCGCACGCCGCCAGCTACCTGCTGGAGGAGGCCTTCCTGGACATGGAGTGCCACTTCCACGACTTGTTCACCGTCAAGTGGCTGGCCAGCAGCATGTCCGTGGACACCATTTGCGTGACCCTGGACGACTACTTCCAGGACTACAACCACCTGCGGCCCAACAACTTCGAGATGGTGATCAACGAGGCACAGAAGCTACTGGCCAAGCGCTACATTCGAGCACTCCTTTCCAAGCGCTTCTCCAAGCCGCGCGTCGAGTGCGACGCCATCACCCGAAAGATCAAGCAGGAGGCCAAGCGCTTCAAGCTCTTCTTCGAGAAGATTGCCCCCAAAGATTTCGCTCAGCGACTCGCCGCTCGATCTCATCACCACACTCTCCGGGCTGCTCATCTCGGACATTGAGCTGCTGGTGCTCGATCTGCATACCTTGCTGGGCAGCTATCCGTCCCTCACAGAGGACCATCTCGTCCGGCTCTTCTACATACGCAGCGACGTGAAGGCGGCAGAGGTGCGCGAAAAAGTCCAGGACGCCATGAAGTCCAAAAAGGCAATGGTGAGCATTGCCAAACAGGACTGCATATTCAAGGAGATTGTGTTCAGTGACAAATTGTGGTAGACCTATGCATCTGTTGCTCCCCAGTCCATTCCGCCAGTTAATGTCTGTTCAGTATCGTATTTATGTTAAGCTCAGATTGTATAAATATATATCTAATATGATGATTTTAGAATAAACTTATATATGTATATTTAACTATTAGCAGCGATAACATGTAACTGTATTTGTCGTATGATAGGGCTGCCATTTATTGGGACTGGCGCAAATTCATATAAATTTTGGATCTTTTTTCGCTCCATCACAAATATTGATGGATTCAGGGGCATCACCAAATATATGTTTGCTTGGACCCACGCTCCTAACACTGAGAATTGAACTAATAATATTGAAAATTTGAATTTTAACAGCTGATAGAGCTGCCACCACGACGCGCACAGCGTCATGTTCCGACCTATTGGCGCACAAATTTCAATAGTAAACTGTTGCTACATTGTTGGATTACATTTTGTTCGTCAGCTTGCCCCAATATACACAATGAAACGCGCCAAGACGGGCACAGCAGGCGCCTCCAAAAAAGCGCCTAAAAAGGAAAACAAAAGCGTCGAAGCAGAGGAGGCCAGCAGCAGTGGCGATGAAGCGTTGGCCTCCAGCTCAAAGCTTGCCCAAACCAAGCCAGAATACAAGAACTTCGAGCAGTTTCTCGCCCACCTGGAGCAGCAGCGATCTGAAGCGGCGGCGAATGTCCAGGAGTTCTCCTTCAAGAAGAAACGAGTGCGCGTCTTGTCCAAGGTGAACGATGTCGGAGAAAAGTGCACTGGCGGTGTCGTCTATTGGATGTCGCGGGATGGTCGGGTGCAGGACAATTGGGCTTTGCTTTTTGCACAGCGGCTGGCCCTCAAACTGGAGCTGCCGCTGGCAGTGGTCTTCTGCCTGGTGCCGAAGTTCCTCAATGCAACCATTCGACACTACAAATTCATGATGGGCGGCCTGCAGGAGGTGGAACAGCAGTGTCGGGAACTGGACATACCCTTCCACCTGCTTCTGGGACCGGCGGTGGATCGTCTGCCGGAATTCGTACGTTCCAAAAATGTTGGCGCTGTTGTGTGCGACTTTGCGCCGCTTCGCGTGCCCCGAAAGTGGGTGGAGGATGTGGCAAAGGCGTTGCCCAAGAACGTGCCGCTGACCCAGGTGGATGCCCACAACGTAGTTCCGCTCTGGGTGGCCTCCGACAAACAGGAGTACGCGGCCAGGACTATACGCAACAAGATAAACTCCAAGTTGGGCGAGTTCCTGAGCGATTTTCCGCCAGTGATCAAGCATCCGCATGGGGAAGGCTGCAAGAAGGTGAAACCCATAGACTGGCCAGCTGCATATGCAATGCTGGAGTGCGACATGGACGTGGACGAGGTGCAGTGGGCGAAACCCGGCTACAAGGCTGCCTGTCTCCAACTGTACGAGTTCTGCAGCCGTCGATTGGGTAAATTTAACGACAAGCGCAATGATCCCACAGTTGATGCGCTGTCCGGACTCTCACCGTGGCTACACTTTGGTCAGATCTCGGCCCAGCGATGTGCTCTGGAGGTTCAACGCTATCGCGGCCAACACAAGGCATCGGCGGATGCGTTCTGTGAGGAGGCCATCGTGCGCCGAGAATTGGCCGATAATTTCTGCTACTACAATGAGAACTATGACAGCCTGAAAGGCCTGACCCCGTGGGCCTACCAATCCTTGGAAGCCCATCGCAAGGACAAGCGGGATCCATGCTACACCCTGGAGGAGCTCGAACAGGTAAAGAACTATGGCTATTGATAGCAAACTCTTTTGAATATGACGGAATGTCTTTCAGTCGCTCACCTACGATGACCTGTGGAACTCGGCCCAGCTGCAACTGGTGCGAGAGGGCAAGATGCACGGATTTCTGCGCATGTACTGGGCCAAGAAGATACTCGAGTGGACGGCCACGCCGGAACAGGCGCTCGAGTACTCGATTCTGCTCAACGACAAGTACAGTCTAGACGGGCGCGATCCCAACGGCTATGTGGGCTGCATGTGGTCCATTGGGGGCATACACGACATGGGCTGGAAGGAGCGTGCGATATTTGGAAAGATTCGCTACATGAACTATCAAGGATGCAAGCGCAAGTTCGACGTGAACGCCTTCGTCATGCGCTATGGGGGCAAGGTGCACAAGAAGAAAGGTTGACAGCACCTTGAATAAATCTATTGGTTACGTTTGCCTTGTTTTTGAATGCAAGCCAAGAGCATTTTTATATTTTACCACGGTTCCATTTAGGGGGTATTTAGAAAATATGACAAAATTACAACTAGCGGGCAGAACTTAGTCCTTCTCGGCGATCTTGGTCAGATGCTCCTCGATCTCCTTCTCGTCCAGAGTGCGGAAGCTTGGATTAGTCTTGCTGACGACGCCAATCTCGATGCCATTGGGCCTGAAGTCAATTGCCAGGACAGTGGACAGACAGGTGATGGCCAACTGGATTGCCTTCTCCTCAGGTAGATTGTTTTTGTACTTCTTTTCCAAGTAGCTGTTGGCCTCGAGCACCTTGGCACCCACCGAGCAGGCCTTGAAGCCGCTAAAGTAGCCAGCTGGATCGGTCTTGTAGACACAGGGGCCGATCTCATCGTCGTAGGCAATCAGCACCATGCTGCAGCCGAGCGGACGCATCTCGGCGTTCTGCGTGTACACCTGGTTGATGTCGGCAATGCGACGGCACAGCACATCCACCGGCATTTCGTAGCCGTATTTGTAGCGGAAGTTGGCCGCCTCGTAGCGCGCCTTTTGCACCTGGGAGCGAGCGTCCGCTAAAGATTCAGAAGTAATTGCTTAAATGCGGAAGTTTAAGCGACAGCAGTAACTTACCAATGCGGCCAGTCATGGCGCAACCGATTTCCTTGGTGATGCGGAACAAGTGTGTGACCGATTCCGGCACAATGTTCTTTTCTGTAACCTTCTTCTGGGTGGCCACCACAGCACAATCGCCGCTCTTCAAAGCCACCGTGGTGATGTTCTCCTGTGAGATGGCCTTAAAGGCATACTCTGCAATAAGACTATCGTTAGAGAGTTGCAGGCAATCAAACACAGGCGCACTTACCGACTTGGTAGAGGCGTCCCTCGGGCGAAAAGATGGTAATGTGTCTGTCAAAGCCGGCTGAACTTCCGCGAGACATGTTTTCGGCGTTTTATTAGCTGCAAACAGATTAAGAAACTTGAAACTTACAGAATTTACTTTTCTTTGACAAACAGCTTACTCTTTAAGTAAATTAAATCGAAAAATTGTTTAAAGTTTTTTTGGACAAAACCTGCGAATTTCAATAGTCATTACCAGTGTGACCGCGGATTTTTCGATCAATATACCGAAATATGTTTTATCGAGACTTTACGTTTTTTGACACTCGTAGGGTTAATGGCGGGTAAATACTTTTGTGTATTTATCGATAAAATATATCGCCTAACCCTCAGAAATATACCGAAATATACCTTGTTGTTATCAAAATATACCCTAAATATACTGACGGACACGACAAGATGGTATTCCTCGATTTTTATATTCGGTTTAGTATTACTAGCTAGTTAGCACCCTCAACACAAAACAAATAATTTTTTCCAATTAATCAAGCTACTTTTTATTGGATTTTTACATAATAAGGTTCAAACAACAACGGCCAAAGCATAAAACGTACAAATACGCGTTTCCGTTGGGATCATGCGGCTCACACCACGAAAAAGAGGGGAAAGTCACCACGAAAGCGCTCTCTTCATCTCGAAAAAGAGAGAAAATTTTGAAAAACCACCACAATTTGAGATCGATAAATGTCAGTATTTTTAGTGCGCTAAATGGAGGTTGGCGGTCATTTTGAAAAGTACTTTAGTATACCTAAAAAAAAATATTTTGATAAAATTGATTAGCCCTAGATCGTCATCCTTCGTCAAAACGCCTATATTTCTAATTGGATGAAATCACTAGCCATACATACACTTCGGCTTAGATGTGTATATTCTTGCATATATTCTGTTCTATCTGTTGTGTATGAGGGGAGTCATATCCACATCAGCCATATCAGCGTCTTAATTCTTTCTTTCATTTGTATTAACAACTTATTAACTTATTCTTACATCTAAACAATTTGTTCTAAAATAGCACGATTTGACCAAACTCGAACATGGCTAGGACCAACGCAGTTGGTACTTTAGCTTTCTCAAATGAATACGCGTCTTGAAGACGACATCCCACAGCGGACTGCTGATACCATATCCAAGGTCCTGATGCGTAAAATGGTGCTGGTAATGATATCGTTTCATATGGACCATATGACTGAAAGATGGATTGCCATAATGCAGGTAGTAGTGCATCATGTCGTAACACAGATAGCCGGCGAGAGCACCTGACAGGACCACTCTCGGTTGGATAAGGAAAAAACTAAGTGGCGTATAAATCAGCATGGCGAGAATGGCTCCCGGTACTGGGGGAAACACAAGGCGCATGGCGTCGAAAGGTACTTTGTGATGGAGTCCATGGATCATGAAGTGAAACGTGCATATCCAGGGTCCACTGTTGCTCTTTAGTTTAATGTGAAACACCCAACGATGTAGAGTGTACTCCAGAAATGTCCACAGAAGCACGCCGAAGAAAAAGTAGCCAGTGAGACACGCAAGCTGGAAGATTTATTAATGGTTAGGAGATTTTCATTAACTGGTAGACAGCTACTTTATGCCTACCTGACTCTTGTCCTGCCAGCTGCTGTAAATGTCCTCCCACGCACACCGTATGATGACGGGAATCCAGAATGTGGGCACCAGCCACCAAGGCGTCTTGGTCAACATTTCCAAATACCAGGGGCCGAATAGCCGCAGCGGCCTGTCTACTGGCTTGTGCACCCACTCATCGTAGCATTTCGTTATGTTGGCGATTTGCGGCAGCATGGCCTTTGACCAATCTACCAAGTGCTGCAATTGTTTAAAAGTGTTTTTGAATATTAAAAATGCGGAATACCATGCATGTATTAAGGGTTGGCAGTCCTGCATGTATCGTATAATCAACCCTGGCACTTTGATAGTTTTGTTATCGCACATCAAACTAAACATTCAAAGACGCAGTTCGACTAACCTGCAGCAAAACATTGTTTATTTGCTAATAAACTTATACATAGTACACCGTAGTTAGTTAAACAGTCTTCGGATCATGTCCAACACATCCATTCGCCCTATACCCACACTGAAAGGAATTTTTTCAGTGCCGCGTAAGATTTTTCTCGAAACTTTCACGGTCATGGCAACCGCGGTCTAATTTGTTTTGGTTATTTTATTGTGTCTTCTTAATTCAGGAGCTACTCAGGGCCGCAACTTTCTCAAGGAGAATAAAGTGAGCTTGCGCTCGCTGGAAAAAACAACAAGTGAAAAACTGGCAGCCAAGGAACCGGTGCGTCCCAAATGGATGCCACCCATGCGGCGCGCTGGCTCCGAGGTACGGGAATCGAAAACAGGCAGACCCCCGGTATCCAGACAAAACACCCAGGAAACCAGTCTGACACGCAACCGTAACAACTCGCGTTCGCATCACCAATTGGGCGGGGGCGGTACAGAGTCTGGCGAACGTTTTGAAGGCTTGGAAGAACGCAATCCGGTGTTTTATGACCCGTCGGCGGAGGCACGTAAAGATTTTGTACAGTCGCCGGACAGTTATTCAGAGCGCTGCAATTCTTGCGGCACACAACGCAGCTCCACAAGCATTGCCATACAGACGGAGGATATCACCGATGAACTCTACCTAACGAATGCATTAAAAAAGTAAGAAGAAGATGGGCAGCAGTAACACATGCCTTAACGTACTCCGTTTTTGCTTTTTCAGATGCAGTTTTGATGGTGGATCTATGCTGGGCGAGTCCCCCAATAAGTACGACAACAGCTACAATCGGTACGATAACGATGATCTGCAGTCACCTCGCACAAATGGCAAACAGCACAGTCGCTTCAACTTAGCCGACGACGATCTGAAAACTGAAGTCGCCTCCGATGATGAGGCTCCGCTCAGTGCACGCAGCCGCTTTACTGTGGCCACAGTGGAATCAAATGCTAGCAGCACGTCTATTATATCCAAGCGCCGCGAGCACAAGCTGGGATGTGAGTACATACCCATGGGGGTGGAACCAACACTCGGCACGGCTCGTTCGTTAATCAAGCTTTTGTTTTTCAACAGCACGCGATGAAGTGCGTCTTCCGCGGTATCTGGAGAAGGAGAAGCGCGAAAAGGCCGCTGCCAAGGAGCTTGCCGATGCACGTGATCCGGACTGTCCACGCGGTCATTTTCTGCTGCCGGAGCAGGATCGTGTGGGCCACTTGCACAGCGCACAGAAGCGTAAGTCTTAAAAATACCTTTAAACAATTTATATATATCCAAAGATTATTTGCTTGACCAGGTTATGATGGGCTCATCAGTGAGTTGAATCACATGCCCATGACCGCACAGACCCTGCGGGTGCGCAACCGCAAGGCCGAAATTGACAAGGAGCTGACTATCGTAGATGAGGAGATACGCGTCTACTCCAAGCCCAAGGTGTACCTCAGTTCTAGCAAATATAAGTAGTGACTCTGACTGGTAGAGCTAAGCTAACACTCCAAAAACTATCAACTTCGACCTCCGCCGTACATGTGCCTTAAGGAGTCTTTGTGAAATGTATCTAGTCTAGTCTTGTGCTAACTATATTTAAGTGCCAGTCTTTCGAATGCATCACTCCAGTTACTCCGGTAAACACAACAGTAGTTTAAAAGTAAAAAAAAAACGTAATGTGAAAAAACTCACCTCCATGCTCTCATCGAATTGATTGTTGTTTTTGTCTTCGGGCTCCCTCGGCTGCTGCTGTGAGTCCTGGCCATTGTCTATTCTGCGAGCCTGATGTCGAGCCTTAGCTGCGGGTACACGAGGGTCCTCCGACTTAACTTTGTACTCCTTCATCAGATACATGGCCGCATCCGAGTGGGGTGGAGCCTTCATGAAGCGTGCCGTCATATCCGCCTGATTGAGGCCCTTGAGTGTGTTGATGCCACCCGGATGCTTGTGCATGAACTCGGACAGATCATAGTAATCCTGACGGTATTTCACAATGAACTCTACCGCTTCCGATCCCTTGGGCGTGTCCATTGCGATGAGGTTGGATTCTGCAACTGAAATTTGAAGCGCGGTCAGATAAGACTACTGGCTCCCAATATGTGTACACATTCCCAGCTATATAATTACTTTGCGTGCCATCGTATAACACGGTTACCATATCGTTGAACCAGTTATCGGTTGCATCGGACAGCGTTAAATTAATGTTCAGTTAGAATATAAATACTCCAAATAGAAATTACATATTTATCCATTCAATTTCCCTTTAATCTAAGCAAATGTTTCCACCCTAAATAACTATGGTTTATATAAAAGTTGGCATTGGCTGGGGACATCTGCCTTCTGGCTATTCTTGGTTGCAATTAAAAATAAAATATTTATGCCAATTGTTGGGCGAAGCAGCTGCCTCTGAAGACGTAATTTTCTTTGGTTCAAATATGTACAATTACTTTGTACAGCCATCGAGCGAAAACTAATTTGCAGGATGTCTATGAGGGTCAATCAATACATGTAATTAAATTGGCGCACTGTACTCGTATTCTCGACATGGTAGAGCCCGTGTGAACTTGGCATTCCTCAGTTCATATTATATCAGTGTGTGCCAGATGTTTCAATCCATTTCTCAGGTCAGATGAATTCAAACAGACATTTCCATTCTCACTGCAATCCGCGATTTCTGTTTGTGTCTACGCGCCAAACTAAACGTCACGTTCATGCTGAATATGAGTAAATAAATATACTCGTATATATGGATACTTATCATCAACTGATACCGTAGGGGTTGGGTCTATTGGGAAAGCTTGTAAGTGCCGGGATTTGGTGAGAATGAGGACGAGTTTGTCGGGTCGTTTGTCAAAGTCGGCCCGGGTAAGCCCAAGGGAGGCACACCATAGACAGGTGTACGGGCGTACAGGTTGTCTGACTCAACCGATCGCATCGCATCGCCCTGTGCGTCTGCGTCACCTTTGATTAATAGCTGAAGCGTTATCTGACATGTATACAACATTGGCATTATCTAGCGGATGCCATATCTCCCTAGGGCCTAGGCTATTATGCTCTGCTCTCAGGCTCATCGAACGCCGTCAAACAAACCTCTGCCTACTCGTGTATACACGCGTTTCATGTGTAGCTTAATTAAGGCTGTTTTCCCCGTCTGCCACCTCTGCCTATCGGGGTTAGCAGGGTTAGCCATAGATTTATATGGTATATCTTTTATGAGTCTGTACTTGTGGTCAACGGTTGCCTGTCACTATCTTATCCACTTATGATTATTGAATAGTTCCTTCTTGAGATAGGCAAAAGCTTTGAAAGTAGTTGCCCCACTTGTAGGAGTACTTCGAAATGCACTTGAACTGGATAAATATGCCACAAGAGCCACAATCCTTTCCGCAAAGTGTTTACGCACTTATACAGACGACTTCAACATTAGCGAAATTAATTATTTATCTAAAACGAACCAGTTAAGTGGCCGGAGGAACTCCTTGATCAGTGTGGGGGGCCTCTTTACGGTTAACGGAACCACGACCGCACGCAATGCAACGCAACTGGCAACTAAATGGCCCTCCCACCCACAGTGACACAGACACCAGCTCCAGCTCCAGCACCAGCACCAGCACCCGCTGCAGCTGATACTTGGTATTATAAGTACCACTGTTAGCAGCAGTATGAGGCGTAGAAAATAGTTCTGGCACTGCCAGAAGATAGCCGGACGGACCGAGCGCCGATAAGCGATAAGATAAAGTGTTCGGCACAGCTAGTTCGTCCAGTTCATTTCTCCTGGCCACTGAAGGTGAAAGTGCGTTGGATGGTGCTGGTGCTGGTGCTGGTACGCCCGGCACGCACACCGGGAGTCTTATCTGGCGATTTGGAAGACATAATATAGTTACTATCGCAGCGTGTTTTCACTTCCATAATACATATAGCACACACTTGATGTGTGCATGTAGATTTTCGATATTGACGATACGTACTATTTTGGGTGTTCTCAGCCGGGTACGGGTTCGATGGAGATTCGTTATCTGGATTGGCATAGCTATGCTAAAAGTAAATACGAAATGAATCACCATGAGCCAGGGACTTTGATTTCGGGAATTGGAAATGACTCAACCCCAGAGACAGAGAGAGAGAGAGAGATAAAACAAATATCTTCGATTCATGGCGAGATAATCATGTCTATCGTATTCAGTACTTCCCCCTTGGGACCGTCAATCAATCCAACTCCAACTAACTGGCTGATTAAGAGAAACCACACGGACACAGCTATGGCTTCTGCATGCCAGGCTGGAAACTGGAGTAAAGCATAACCGCGATGCAACCCAGTTTTGGCCCACAACGAGGGAGACGAAATACAAATTCCCATTACAATACAATTTTCACTCACTCACTTAATCCGGATGAAACATTTCTTCGCACCATCTAAATTCCGTTTTTTAATGGAAATACGCTGGTTCTCTGATAAATTTATGAGACCAAACACACACCCACCACACGCAGACCTGCGACCTGGGCCAGAAGTGTCAGGTCAGTCTGTGCCAACAACATGACGTTGAAGCGCCAAGCCCAGTCGAGCCCAGCCTTTTGGCTAGGTGTCGTAGGTTTCTATAAGAGGGGGCAGTAAGGAATGCACGAGTCCTATCGTGTAGGACACGATACCGAAAATGCTCGAAGGGAATTCCATTTGGTTCGTCAGAGTGGCGAGACTTCGCCTTGAGCGGTCAACTAATTACAATCCAATACGTTAAACATACGAGTATCACAATCAATCAACCGAATGAAACCGTTCAATATAATTTCATAACATCCCACGAGTGGACTATTGAGAGGAGTGACTGTCATTAGATGGTCCAAATATGAATGCCAATTGAATATTCTTTGAAATATGAAACCTGTGGTTCTGTGGGGTTGTTCTGGGGTTGGCGGAGAATCTACAATAAATATGACTGGGGTGTGTAACGTTTTGTATTATTAGTTCATAGTTTTGTTCGAAACTACTTATCTCAGGTACCTATTAACTGCCATCGGCAACGATACGATACCAAAGATATAACGTACAAACGTATAAATGACACCGTTGGAATATATATATTGAGTCTCATAAAACTGTTCGTTAGCAATCAGCACCTCAAAGACCCGAAACTATTGAGTCATTGAGTCCACTGTATGACTTTTCACATTCAAGGCACGACTGTATTTTCATTGCATACCGTTAGGCGGTTCTTTAGCTTCGTTTTTCCTCAATATATGACCGATTAATTGAACACTCGATTCTATATGTCTTTTTGGATGTCTCGGCAAACAGTCCTTAGCGTTGAAGTATTCATATGTTGTTGCTCTTCTACTTGGGAGATGCGCCCAGATTCTACAACAGATATTTGGAAATACTGAATTGATATGGGAACTAATTGCAATCGGAAGTACATAATCTATTGCGAACCAAGGCTCTCCAACTGTGCGCAATGCATTTCAAACGAAAGCCACTCGTAGTGCTACTAAAACTGTTTGCACCTGTGCAGGGGCTCTCAAACGGTAGAACCATTATTTTGTAATGAATAATTATAAATAATTTTGGTCTTTGAACTGCAAAGGCAAAGGTATGAATATTGTGTGCGGCTATCGTGTATATTTTTCCACTTATAGAATACTTTATTCTTTATCTATAGGTATATTTTGTGAAAGAAACAGACAATTGTTGATTGTTTTCTAATATTGGGCTTTATTCCGATAAGCCAGCTTTATTTTAATGTTTACAGTATATTAATAGCTTAAGACTATGTGGAAATTTATCCATCAAAACCCATACATATGTATATATTCGAAGTTATATACTTTTCAACGCTCAAATCGATTCAATGGGGGGGATGCGCATGGGCAGCCCCTTCAGTGGCCATTTCCGTTGGCGGCCACTGTGGTGCCATTGCTGTGTCCATTGGCATGCAGCTTGCCACCGTTGGCGGAGGACTCCACGGCACAGGGCTGGCCCAGTAGCTTGGCCCGCTTTACGGGCGGCTCATTCGTGATGGTGGCAAAGTCGAACTGAAGAAAACAAAAACAAAAATCATATATAATATTAGGAGTGGCAGGGAAACTCTTAATGGATTCGGTGTGTACTCACGCGCTGCTCCAAAGTCATGTGGGAGATGGGCGGCAGTCCGATGCAGCCGCGTAGGATGTTTTCAATGGCGGAACGCTGGCTGAACAGCGAGTTGACCACTTGGGATCCCTTGGGAACAAGCGGAGCCTTGCACAGATAGCTGAGCAGCGAAAGGACCGGCTTGAATGGCACCCATGGAGCAGACTCCTTCTCCGCAGCACGCAGCTGGATACGTGTGCTCAGCTCGCCCAAAATAACCAAGTCCAGAATAAGGGGTGTGGCCAGGAGCGAGTCCTCGCAGGTATTGTGGATCACGAGAGTGTTGTGGCCACCCATCATGATCTCGGAGGTGTACTCGTCCATGGCCCGCTTGCTGTCACCCACATAGGGCAGGTATTTGATGACAACCACATGGTCGGGATGCTCGTTGGCGCCGTAGAGCAGCCTGTTGGAGGCCACCATATCGTCCACCACATTGCTCTTGGATATCTGCCGGCGGATGGAATATTGTTAGTCACAACACAGGGATGAGAATTGGTCATCATCGACCTACCTCCTTGGAGCGGAACTGCTGGGGGGCAGACAAGTTCTTGCCGTCGTTGTTGCCAAGATGATTGTAGCTGGCAATGGCAACGGGCTTGATGCCAGCACCCACCAGGAAGTCGACCAGCACACTCTTGATCTTGGTCTGGCCGGACTTGAAGTCGTCGCCGGCAATGAATACATTCTTCTCCTCGGCCAGCTGGATGAGGCCCGGCACAAAGGTGTTTTGCGGCGAGCCGTTGATGTAGGTGCACTGCGGGGGAGGGTGTCCCAGAGATGTAGTTAAAGATCACTTGGAGTAGTGGGAGCAGGCAAAGTGTGAAATACTTACACCCTCGGCGACGCTGGCCATGGCAAATATGGTGGACGGCGACACCTCCGAATGGTTGGCCTTCAGAGAGGCAAACAGCTCCTGGATAGTGGTGTTCAGACCCGGCTGCACCTCAGAGAAGCGCTCCGTGTTGGCCGTCCAGAGGACAATGACGGAGTCGACGCCGCTGCGCTGCTTGAAGTCACGGATGTCGCGACGGATTTGCTCATACTGCTCCTGCCTGGTGCCCTTGATGAGGTTGTTGGCCCGATCCGACTGGTTGGCTGCGATAAAGTCCGGATCGTAGATCGATGGACGGGGCTTAAGTTTGGCCATCTGTTCGTACAGCAGGTCCTGCAGGGCCACATCGAGGACCTCGGCACGCACCATGGCATCCGCCAGGTGCAGATTGCTAATGTCCCAGCCATCCACCACAATGTCGTTCGGCTCCACCATGGGCAGGAGCTCCTTCATGGGCACGAACACATCGCTGCCCGCCTCGTCCGAGCCAATGAGCACAGTCGAGGCCTGGGTGATCGAACCGAACCAGTTGGCCTGCTGCACGCCCGTGCGCTTGCGCCACTTCAGCTGGCGGCGATTGGCCTCCAGGGCGGCGGTCAGAGTCGATCCGTTGTTGCCACCCCAGCCCACCAGCATGACGCCCAGCTTGGGCACCTGGCGACCAGTGCGTATCTTAAGGGCTGTCGTCTGAGGGTGTACCTGCAAAAGATCAGACCGCGGAATCGCTAATTAGTATCTGGGCTACGCCAAACACAACCCGTTCAGCCCCGCCAGGGGTCCGCAGCCACCTTATCTCTGATTTTATCGTACCACCCAAGAGTCACGTCCCAGCATAAATTTTAAATTATGCGATCGCCTGATTTCTGCTACCGTTCGACGAACCGAACCTGATTCGATACCGTTTACCATGGCAGAGCGCAGGGGTATATTGATTGTGTATATGGGTGGGTTATAATATTACTATATCTATGTATAACAGTGAAAATTATGTTATTTCAAGCAATTAAAGGGTCACCATCCCTTTGATATGCCTAATTTTGACTATTTTCAACTCTTAAAAACATTTAAAATTGACTCCCCAAAAGAGAATCGGTATTTTTTAGTCCAAACATCAGTCTTTTCGTTTTCTTTTGTTGTTTTTATCAGATTTCAGCTGAGACAACACGCATTTTGATTTGAGCCAAAAATAAAATCGCAAAAGAATAAAGAACGATGATTGCATTACTAATTTAACAACGTGTTCGTCCAAAGTTCGACAAGAATTTTGTCAACTCACTTGCCGGCCGGCATAATTATCATTTGCAGCGAAAGAGAAGAGACGACACGACAGATTTATTCCCCCAAGAAGCACTTGAAACTGTTGCTCTTTCTTGGGCAGCTAAGAGAAAAAGTTCTCCGAGCATTTCATTGTCTATCATTGACCTTGAATAAACGGACGCCTCCTGTTGGGGAAGGGGGGGATGAGATGTAAACAGAGCACAAACGACACCACAGTTGTTGGAATAGGGAGGGAATCGGGTTTCTGTTCTGTTTGCAATCTAATGCAATCCAATAGCAACAGCGGCGACGACACAACCAACACCAAACGGCGCCTGCGCGCGTAGAACCACGCCACCCACAGTATCGGGTATCAGCGGAGGGCTTAGCTTATCAACAGCTGTTTTCTGGAACTGTTCGAGCAATCAATAAACTGCGACTGTACCCATTGCCCACCCATCCGCCAACGCTATTTTGGACTGCGCCTAATCGGAAGCGTACATATTGGATATCACTTATGAACACAGCCCACAGCTCCATCCCTTGACTAAACAGTGGAAAATTTCCACTGTTCCTAAGCAAATGGCCGCGGGTGTAAATATGTGTATGTGCAGCTGTAGATGACTGGAACTCGGGCAAGTTCAATGTGAAGGTCAGCAGATGGAATTGAATTCACACAAGAAAATTACCCTCTTGAGAGAGGATGATGAATGCACTCGTACAAGGGCCACTTATTGAAAAATCCTTGGGCAACTAGTGTCATCGATTTCTATGGTGTCCCTACTTCAATCAATAAATGTATCCTCACCTGTAGCTGTCCGCTGGCGGTACGCTTCACATGGGACGTCTGGTACTCGTAGTCCGTCTCAATAAAATCATCGTCCACCCGCACCTTGGGCGAGATGATTTCCAGCGTCGAGCTATTTGTTGGCTTCATTTTCAGCACTAAATTCAATGTTTCTTGTGACTTTGTTTCTTTTCGTTCCTGTTTTTTTTTTTTGGCTATTTTCACACCCACACCAATTGTGTTTATCAAATTAGCGCGTTTTGTTTTTTTTTTTATTTTGTTACAGGAATTCCTTCCTCACTTGCTGCCGGGTTGCTTGCGCGGTAGTGCAAATTGGGACTGGAAAGTTCTGCTGAAGGCAATGAAGGCGAATGAATTGCCAAACGGGATTGGAAGCCGCTTTTATAGAAATGTGAAGCAAATTTCTGCGATTCTCGCGCTCTCTCTCTCTCTCTCTCTGTCCGGTCCGGCGCTAGGTGTACATACAGTGGTGCACAGCTTAAATGAACCAGACATTTGTATTCCAAAAGCTTCCAAAAGCTGAAAAGTGCTGTGGTTCTTTAAAGATGTGAGGCCACTGTATTTTTTATATGAAAATACCATTTGTCGGATATTGCTTGACTCTCAAAAACCGCTCTCCCGTGCTCTGTGAAGACTGTGAAGAGAACATTTGCTGCATGTGGTTGTGTTTGTGTGCAAGTGGGTGCGAATCATGTCAATCAGCACAGCACAGGCTAGAACCCTTCTCATCCAGTTTTCCCAAACGATCTTGTGCAGGTATTCAAGGAAAATTTAATAACAATAGGTTAGATTTCATGCGCCGGTCGCGTAAACAAATGATGGGAGTGCTTTTGGGCAGCTTTTGTAAGTTTGGACATATTAATCGGAAAATTAAAGAATTCTTCTTTATCTCAGAAGACCAACAGCAGAAGCACTGACTAAAATTGTATTTTTTAAAGGAGAGGATTATAGATTAAAATTAGTATAAATGGGGTTGAATCATCTTCAGTTTTGACCATTTTCTACCCGTCTTGGACAGAGTATTTTTAAACTTAACTCGAAATTACTTTCCGATTGAAAGATATCAAGATCTGGTGTCTGGCAGGTGTGTCATGGGGTTACTACTTTTGAAATGACCCTCTTAATAGCTCCCCAATACAATTTCCTGTTCCTAGAATCTTCCAGAAACATGCAAATCTTATAAATGAAAAACTTTCCATTGTTACTTACAGTCAATTGAATGCAAACCGAGTTCAAATTACGAATTGTTTCTTAATAAATATGGTGGGTCTGGTTTCTTTTGATGAGTCCCAGTTGTGGTTTGGTTCGGGATTGCATAACAATCACCGTCAACTGATCGGTATGTGTCCACTTCAGAAGTTTTCCATAGAATCCCATAGAATGATCTGGGTCTATCACCAGATCAGGCACACGCTCTCGTGGGAGTCGTCTCATTTCCCCCCTATGGAACCCTTATCACCTCAGACACATCCACTTCCTGTTGCGTGGGTTTCCTTAAATTGCAATGGACATGTAACGATTACATTTGTATAAAATAATTGTATTTTGTGTGTTGCAAAGCGATCTGGTCTATGTATACAATGTATATGTAAAAATACTTAAAGCATTCGAATGTGAGAGTTGGGAAACATAGGGAATAATAATATAATAATAATCCTAGGATTAGGATAAGTTCACAGTGCTCTTCTATGTGTTGACTACATATGCGACTGGCTATAATTTTTGAGTAGAGATTGCTTATGCTAAAGTTATGTACACTTGTGTTAATTCGACTAATATGAATAGATCACGATAATCACACTCTAATACGCACAACAATTTCTTTGAGTGGAGCAACAAAAAAAAGCGTGTAATGTGCTTAAAATCAATTTGAAAGCAAGTGCAAATGATACACATATCACTTATAGGTAATACTGCGACTAATTGTCCAGAAACTCCCATTCGCTGGACGTGTTGGAATCGCTTGTGGCTGGAGTTTCCTTTCTCAACGGGTCTCCAGCCCTTCGAAAGTCTGGCAGAAAGCTCGTGTACTCCTCCTCGTCCGTATCATGCTCCAAGGTCAGTGTTGCTTTCGGCTTGCTCTTCACAAACTTTAGAGGCGCCACTTTGGGCTTGAAGGAAGCAGACGCACGAATTCCGTCTACCGGCTGGCCCGCATTGTAATCGTCGCCGGTCTCTATTTCTTGTGGAGCTGTCTGATGAACACTGGCCTCCTCCAGTCGCGTGGGATAGCAGCTGATCAAAGACTCAGTCAGCTGTGTCGTCTGAGCGTGGGCGGCACGCAGCTCTTCTTGGGTGAGTGGGGCAAGGTGCACCTCGGGCAGGTCCAGCTCGGCAGCCAGGGACTTGGCCTTGGCCGCCACTGTCTCTTGAAGTGTGGTCGGGCTCAGAGCGTCGGGCAGGTGCTCCGTAAAGGCGCTCTTCAAATCCAAAGGCGAGGCCAGGCCATTGCTGCACGGGGGTATAGAGATATCTTGGGTGCACCAAAATAGGGTAAATCCTTGAATACTCACTTCTCCATCTGACAGTAGCTGGCCTCCATTATAGTGGCGGCACTAGTGAGCGGCAGCTTCAACTCATGTGTCTCGTGGCCGATTTCAATGATGCCCATGCCACTGTTCTGCTTGCCAACAGATGTCTTGCGCTTCCCACTGGAGGTTGTGCCACTGGTGTGAACTATGGACTGCTCGAATTCCATTTCGCCGATGCGACGGAAAATCTCCAGGCGACGGTTCTGCTGAGCCAACGGCGACTCCACGGCCAGCTCAATGGGCACATTCAGATCAAGTTTCTCGACAGGCGGCAGCTCAAAGCATTCCTCGGCACTGTGCAGGGGCTCCGCTTGCAGCTCGAGCGGCGACTCTAGCTGGGAATAGTGCGAAGCGCCTAGGACAGGAACTGGCGGCGGCATCAACGGATTAAATATTACTTTCGCTGTCTTGTTTGGCGGCTCCGGCAGTGGAGCCAATCGCAGCAGGGAGCGCTCGCCTTCCAGAACAAAGATCTCCTTGCCGTTAACACAAAAGTCGAGAATCTTGCGGAATCCGCGCGCCACAGCCTCCACCTTAAGGCGGTCCATATTCAGTATATACAAAGTGGCATCGTCATGGGTCACCAGCAACGAGTCCTGGCCATCGTACAGATACAGCTGGCGGAAATTGCTGCTGGCCACGTAGGGCACATCGCCGTCTCTTTCTTGAACTACGGCTTGTGGTTGTGGCCTCGTGGATGGCTCACTGCGCTGTTTCGGGTTTAGTATGGGTATCTCCCACGTGGGACTGCGCAGCACAGCGTCCTTAAATAGAACGGTCTTGGACACATTTCCGTAGGCGTCCGCCATCCAGAAGCGCAGACCAGGTCGCCCGCAAATGAGCTGTGGCTTGCTATTGGGCAACTTCTTAAGAAACACGCCGCCACAGTCGATGAGCTGCTTGCGATCCTTCTTGCCCACCTGGGTGATGTGCCACTGTCCGGTTTGGACGTCGCGCTGGCACACGATACAGCGATAGAGTGTGGCCACCAGCAGGTGGCTCTGGTGCACGCTTAGCTGGACAATTTCATAGGCTTCGCTGAGAATCTCCACAGATTTGCTTAGGTGCTGAATGGGAAAAACATCGGGTTATTGGTTGATTCCCAAAATCCCTCTTACTCGTACACACCGATTGATAGTCGAATTCTGTTAGCACTACAACGCCTTGGCGGTCGCCGGAGAAGAGTTTCATGCCATTCTTCGACCACTCGCAGCAGCTGACCACACACCGGTGCAGGTCGCGGATTGTATAGCGTTCAATGGGCTTGCTGCGCGTACATGGCGCCACTAGATCCAAGTCCTGTGGCAGTTCCTTCTGTATCTGGAATATGCTGACTTGCCCGTTGGCGCATCCTGCTGCCACCATGTACTCCACCGAATTGACTATCTTCACGCACGTAATGCGTGTGGCAACCTGCAAAGCAAAGTGATTGTGTGCGGGGGAAGCACACGGCCAACGTTAGCCAACTTTATGAGTAAACGACACGCAAGGGACAGGGATGGGCCACTCAGATAAAATGCTTGAATGAGTCATAGACTAACCTCCGACTTGAGCTTCTGCATCTCGCCCGTTTGGCGATTGTACCAGAATACAATGCCCGCATCGCTACCCACAGCCAGGAATTCGTTTGTTGCATCGACGCAAGTCAAATTGAGATTGGCCGGAAAGAATCCCCGCTGCAGGCGAGCCGGGATGTGATCGATGATATCAGTTAGCGGGGCCCACTCCCGTATGGAGCACAATTCTTTGCTGTTGGCCATATTCTCGGCCTGGTCAATACAAAAAACAAACAAACCCAATCCTTATCCGGCTGTCAACAAAAAATACACACTTGGCTGAGCTGCCAGACGTCTGGAAAAAGGCCAGCGTCTCAAACGGTAACAATCGATAGCCATGAATATCGAATATGTTGGAAGATTTTAATATTAAAAAAAATTTCACCAATTAAAAATCGGATTTTTGGATTGTTCGTCGGGCCCGTGGTATACGAAAACAGAAGTGAGCGAATTGGCAAAACAAAAGCAGCCCCGCCCGCACCACACCACATTGCTCTACAACATCATTTTATACGACAGGCCAGGCGCAGATAAAAGTACAAAAGCAAACCCCCCTTGCTAGTCGTTTGGGGTAAAGTTCACAAGACCCATTGCCATCGGAGCGGAGCTACATACGACAGTTTTCAGCTGTCGCCATGGTCGACAACAATAATCTTCGCAGCGCTGTGATCAACGAGGCACCTTTACTGCCGCCGACGAGCATCGTTGGACCCGGATTTTCCAGTGGGCCTCCGCCAGACGCAGTGCTGCGCACACCCTACGCCGGCAATGTGCGCGCTCTACCAAACCTCGCCCCACCACTGCCTCAGTCGCCGTTTCAACAGACCCAATACGGATATGGCGGAGCCTATGGAAACAATAGCTACGCTGGTGGCTATGGCAGCTACAACACTGGAGCAGGATTCGGAAGTGGATTTGGAGGAATGGGCCAGTTTGGTGGCAGCTGGGGAGCTCCGTACAGGTCGTATGGCGGTGACTTTGGCGGAGGCTACAACAGATTTGGCGGTATGGGTGGCATTGATCCGGAGCAGCGTTTCATTCAGATGGCCGAGGCAAGTTCGCGGCCAGCGTTCCAGAGTATAGAGTCGTTGGTATCGGCTATTGGGAACATTGCCTCCATGCTGGACTCGACATTCTTTGCGTTAACAAGCTCATTTCGGGCCATTCTCGGCGTGGCAGCGAACTTTGGACGTTTGCGCAGTGTTTTTGCGCAGTTCTGGACAACATTTGCCATCTTTCGAGGTCTGAAGTGGATCTACAGAAAGTGAGTAGCAATCAAAAAGATATGGAACACCGACTCTACCGGAACTTACATACTTACAGGATACTTTTCTGGCTGCGACTGTCGAATTTGGATCCTTCTTCGGTGGCCTTCAAGAAGGCGTTTGCTGACGCTCTCAACGAGAACAATGCTCAGGCAGGAGGGGGGCCACAGCTTCCGCAAAAAAGAACCTCGCCCTGGCCGGTATTAGCCTTCATCAGCTTTATATTCACGGCCCCCTATCTGATCATGAAGCTATTGGGCTCGGTGACAAACACGGCCCAGGAGGAAGGTATGCCATATGCACATTGCACACTTGCTTTATCTAATCGCGAGCACTTTGCTCTGGCCATGTGCTAGTAATCTGGCCGATAAGCCGTGCGAAATGTCGAGATAAGCCGAGGGTATAATTCTTGTATGTTTTCTTTCTCGCAGCCCGCAATCCATCCAAATGGATCGCACCGATTCACACCCAGGCTGTGTACGATTTCACCGGACGCAATCAGAGTGAGCTCTCGCTGAGTGCCGGCCAGTCGCTCCAGGTGGCCCCCCGCGAGATTCAACAGACTCTCAATCTGCTCAACACCGGCTGGGCATTGGCCACAACAAATGGTCAGACTTCAGGCATCATTCCCATTAGCTATGTCAAATCGCCACAGCAGCTGCGGCAGGAGAATCAAGAACCAGTGAAACCCAGCCAGCCCCAACCTGAGCTGATGAATCTATCGGCAGATGCATTTCCGGCACCGCCGTTCGATCAACAAATGAACTACGACTTCAACTTGGCGGCCCAGCAACAGGCGCCCCTTGGCCCGCCCTCAACGTCAACAGCGGTATTTGAAGAGGGATTCGCTTGAGTTGGTCCAGCCAGCCGCGGCCCCGGTTCCCTGTGTACACCCCTTAAACATAGCCTTAGTTTAAGTATCTTCGGTTGACCTGTTGTATTTTAAGTTAACTTCCGCCTCTTGTAAGTATATTTCCGTTTAAGATCTTTGAATTTGTATGTAAGACTGCTATGCTATGCTCAGCTCTGCGATCCGATCCCAATGAACTAAAGTAAACTACAACAAACCCGAGTTCTATGACTCAGCCTCTAGTCACGCACTCAATGAGAAACTCGTTTCTAGAGTTTGCTGAGAAGGTATGCAAATATGGTGAAGGTGAAGGAAAATGTAGAGGTTTTCTTTGTTTATATCATATTTTACAATATGCAATTCACTTTATTAACTTGTCACTCGATCTGTTTGTCAGTTATACCCATTGCATGCATCAATATGCAATCCAATCATTAATTATTTCGATTTATTACACAACTACATGCTCGACACTTACATTTAAACGCATTCTATTTGACTTGTCTACTAATTTGTATTTGTATTTGTATTCACTTCTCTGTATTCACTTGAAGATTGTATAAATTCTGAAAATTTATATTTCGCTTGTATTGTTATTTCTAAATTGGTAGGTTGATTATTTTGCATGCATCCCATCTCCTTTTCTTTGTTAACAAAAAATGTTTTGGGGCTGCGACGTTTCCCACTGTTGGGGATGGTAGAATAAAACATATTTCATATGTCTTTGATGTCACTCTTGTATTCTTACTCGTAAAACAAATTGCAGCTCATTTTGGTTGTGTTTAAAATTGGGGTGTATTGTATTATGTAGAGACATATTTACCCATAACATGATCGCTTTCGCTTTAGTATTACCCAATTAAGGAGGATAGGCGGCAAAGGGGAGACTCGTAACAACTAAGAAGTAACATTTTCTTTTCGTTTGCTGGGGGAGTGAGGAGGCGGGGTAGGGGTTTTGCTTAATATGTGTCGTGTACACTCCGCTTAACTAGACAAAATTACTTTTTAAAAACTTCCTTCAGCTTAAACATAAATCTTCAAAGATACAAGGGAAAATGCGTATGCAAAACCATTCATTTATGATTTCCTTTTCCCCCATGTTGTTTATACGATAATTATAGCAATATTGTATAACTTAATAAAGTCTCATTGAAAGTTAAACAAAACCAACTGTGTGGGGTGGGGTGGGGTGATTGGGAGGCGGTGTTGGGTGGGATGGTGGAGGTTGAGTGATAGAGGCGAGCCGACAAGTTTAACCGTGTGGGGGGCGTGGCAAACCTAGCAAAGCATTGATAAACGTAAAACTAAATGTATCTTCTGCATCCGCAGCATCTGCATCCCCGTCCGCATCGGCCATTGCATGTGCAATGTGAGCGGCATCGTCAGCTCAATCTATGTCATCCTCCAGCTCGTCATCGTCCAGCTCCAGCTTGAGACCCTCACCAATGGTATGCTGTGTTGTGTTCTGTGACAAGCTCTGAGAATCGTTGTACACAGTGAACTCGGTATCCTCGTCGTCCGAATCGTACATGGTTTCCCCAGTTTTTCCGGCTCCATAAGCTAAAGTCGGAGACGGAATGGTATTGCCAGGTGTTTTGCGTTGAATTTGAGCCGATATGAAACTCACCTTCCACATATTTGGCTAGATTTGGTGGGACCCAAGTCTTCACACGCTCAATGTTCTCGGGCGTGCACTCACCCTTATCCAAGCCTAGAATGGTTGACAAAAACCAATTAGATTAGTGAACACTGAGGATGGGCGATTACTTACCCAAGCAGAAACCCATACGCTTGAGGACCTCAATATCATCATGCATTTCAAATGTCTTGTCAAATTTGAAGATGTATTCGGACCTACATAGTGCGGGCAGGGGATTAGAGTGTTGGAATTTGGTGGAACTAAGTGATGTTGGACTCACTTGTCGTTGGTCACGCTGCAGTTGATCTTGGTCGATTTGTGCGTGTTCACAATGATGAACGGCAGCTGACAGGATGCATTTGCCGAGGGCACCACGCCCTGGCTCTCATTCCGCTTGTTTCGCTCGACTAGGCCTTTGAATGCTACATGCTGCAAGATCATTTCGCGCAGCATATCACTCTTCTGTTTGATGCGCTCCCGCCGGAGACTATTCTCCTCTTCCAGTGCCAGAAATTGCTATGGAATTGTTAGAATTAGTAGAGATAATCCTAGGACTGTTGAATCGCAGGCTCTTACCTCCGCTGAGTTGGCAGGCAGCCCTATCCAGCGTATTTCCTTCTTATCCTTGGATATAACATTGATTGCCATCAGTACGTTGAGCGCATCGTAGACACGACGTCGGATATTCTTTTGATCACAGTTGCTGTCGTATGCATTGTTTTTCATTTCTTCGCTGACCAGGTCATCGGCCACTTCATTGTATGTGGTTTTGCCCTTCTCCTCAACCTTCTCGCACACCTTCATCGAGAAGTGGCGCAGACCCTTGCCGGCCTTGTCCGGCTTGCGTTTCCTTTGTACTGACGAGGATGAGGCGGACGTTGAGTGCATGGTGCTCTGTATGGCATGGCTGCTAGGATCAAGAGAACGTTCAGTTTAATTCCTGTTTTTCTGGCAGTCGCATCTGCCTCGCAACTTACAGTTTTGACTTCATTTTAGTTGGATTATTTGGCGTAAACCTCACAAAGCGTTCCTTTATCTGTTAATGCAGAATACACATTCGATTAGTGCCGCATGGAGTGGGGGTGGAGTGCCGCGCTACTTACCACGTCGTACATGCCGCCGCCCACGCTGGCCCCCTTCTGAGCAGACCCGGTTGTGTATGAAGTATCTGTTTTTGGTCAATGGATAACGCATGAGCACCGATCGAAAGGGTTATGTGTATTGTGGCTTACTTTCTGTTTTTGGAATGACCGTACCATTGTCCTGCAGTCGGATGAACTGTCCCTGATTGGTGGTGCCCTGTGGGGAATGTGAGATGTGAGTTCAGCGAAGAAGCTACCCTCCGATCCAAAGTAGTCTTACCATCTGACTGAACGCGCCCATGCGCCCAACGGTGCCAATGCCACTGCCATTGCCACTGTTGCGCGCGGAAGAGCTAGTGGCATACACTACGGAAGATTTGCCACTATTCATTTCGGACTTCACTTGTGCCGGCTTGCGCATTGTAGCTATTTGTCCTGGAAGAAGATAAATGCAGTTTCAGATTGGATTCACTCCGAAGAACTAAGAAATATTTGATAACACGATTGTGTCAATATCCCCACCACATACATACACATCAATTTACATTGGCATTCTTGTGTGTTTGTATGTGTGTATTCGACTATCGTCGGTGTGCAGCCCTCGCTGTGGGGCGAGTGTAGTGAAAAGAACGAGCGCGCGCAACTGAAAACGACTGCAACAACAGTAAACCAGAAAGCACATATTTCAGAAGCAGAACATTAAGGGTGCATATAACACACACACACAAACGTGTGCCATGTACATATATGTATTCACTCTGGTGGAAATCGCCTCCTTTGGCAAGGACGAGGATGCAGCAACAACCAGGTAACCAGATCGCTTAGGGTTGTTGAATACATAGTCAAATGTTCATAGTACATATACATTACATATGTATGTACGCACGTATATTAATGGAACCGCCAAGTTCAAACCAAAAGATTGGGGCATGCAGAGAGTAAATTCCGAAATTATGAAGAAATTTATTTATATTTTATATGGGTATTCGATAGGGAGTCATCAGCAGGGTATAATTAAGAAGAGGTGAAGTGCTAAATATCATTAATATCGATATTTTTATAGTCACTTTTGTCACTACTTTTTCAGTCGCTGTTCGACTCATATTTTACAATGATCTGCAAATAGTTCGATTTTAAGCCATAGATCATAGGGAGACCATAACGCTGTGAGAAAAAAGGTTTTAAAAATTATGTAAAAATCATAACCAGAACTAGAATCGAAACCTATAGGGCCAGATTAGTAGTATGCATCCCTGGCTTTCCACCTTTACCTTTGTAACCGGCTTTTTCTAAGCAATTCAAGTTTTCTACATCAGCTTCGTTCGATATGATAATTATTCACCTGCTGCCTGATATTTGTATAACCATAACAACAGAGCGAGTGGTCAAACTCCCAGAACAAGCAGACCCGCAAGAGGGTCTGGGAATAATAAAAATATCTGCCAACTCTCCTCTCTCTCTCTCTTACACACGGACACAACCAACCTTCAAATGACGCACACAGTGGCTTAACTACAGGCATACACGCCTCGGGTCAGCCAGCGGGGCATAATGGGGATCGGCAAACTTGAATTCTGAAAATGTTTGCACTAGATTGAACTAATATACCCTCTACTGATACAACGCACAAAAATACGAAAAAAAATCCTGTACGAAAGGATTCACTGTAATTAGTAGTGGGGACCGTGGTTCGATGCTCATTCATGCAAGCATCAAACACATACACGTGTATACCAGTCGCTTACACATGTTTGATGTTTGCCCGTTTTGGGGGTTTTGCTTCTTTTTTTTACCAACGCGATTGTGTGTTTGTGTGTGTGGCATTGTTGTTCTTGTCTCTAGCCTTGTTCTCTCGTTCTCTCTTTCCCACTCCGGTCTTATTCCGACTGCGTGACACATTGCGGAATGTCACGCAGTTTTTATAAATTTTCTTTTGCTTCTACTCTTATTCAAAATCATGATTATTTATAACTGCGAATGCACATATTGCAGGTTTATGATGCAAAACTTTCATACTGAATGCGTTAGCAGCGCTTCGACGACCGCCTGCGGCTGGGGCTGCAATCAGCTGTTGGCTGTCCGATAAAATAAAAGTGGGAGAATAATAAGTCCATGAATGTGTGCGTGTGTGTGAGGGAGCGCGCCAACTGGGCGATAGCTGTACGGTAGGTGGAGTGGGGGCAGAGAGAACACACCGATTTTGGTACTTCTAAAGCAGCTCTCTCTCTTTCGCTCTGCCTCTTTACCCTTTAGTTTATTTTGTTCATCCTGTATGCATGTTATGGGTTTTCAGTTGTCCTCTACTTGTTTCTCGGGCACTAAAAACGTATCAAACGATGAATATTGTCAGCAAAAGAAACCCGAAAAAAGAAAAGATGGCGTTTTACGCTCCCCATGCAACTTTGTAGTATCGTATCGCGCCCGCCTCCATATGTGCGTGTGCAAGAGTGTGTGGGTACTACTGTTCCGTTCCTCTGCCCCTGATAATACACACACACACACAACCAAATAGAATGCTCATTAATCAAGGCAGCCTCGAAGTCCTTCCCCGTAATATGGAAAACCGCCAAGGCTCTTCAATTGCCACGGAGGAGATAGCGAGATATATGGGAGGGAAACTGGCGCCCCACCACTTACCGTGCTCATCTTGAAAGAAGAAATTTACTTCGTTCGTTTTAGCTACACCGCTCGCTGCTGCTGCTGAAGAGTTATGCGCCATTTTAGGAGTAGCTTGCTGTTGTTATTGTTATCGTGGAGCACACTCCTTTCATAGAAAACCAACCAGGTAGGCAGGTGCAATAGTGTCGACGTTGCCGCCTCTCGCCGGTGCCCCGCACAGATAGAGATAGCCGACTGTTGCCTCTCGCCCACTCCTCTCACTCTCGCCCACTACTCCTCACCACACTGCTTTGCTTTCGGGCTGTCACCTCCTAGAGGGCCGCCAAAAAAAGAAGTCTTGAATAGCAAAAAGCACGTAGCCGCAACGTGTGTATGGGTGGCTTAGTGTGAGTGCTGTATTCGTAGTTGGTGTGTATTTTTCACTGCACTGCACAATTGAAACACGTGTGTAAATTTAGTCTTTGCCTACACTTTTATGCACTCTTAGGGATCGGTATTAATGGGTACAAAATTCGTTGTAGCTCGAGTCAAAATGGCGAGCGCGAGCGCATTTTTGTTCACTTCCAGCAGCACAAGAGCATTTTTTCTTGTCACACACACACAGCGGCGGCCGCAAAATTGCTTTGGTGCCTATTTTCGCTGGCGATTTTCGCAGACTAAACGAACTTCGATTTTCACACACAATATCGCAAAAGATTCACCGAAATCGACTCTTTCGCGTGGTGTGATTAGTTTCGAACAATTTGTATTTTTTAACGGAGCACGATATGCACAAAATTTCCACCAAGTCGTTGCTTTTTCGTTTTCATGTGGGAAAGGCAGTGCAGGCAGTGTGCGGGTGCGAATGAAATGGCAGACGCTGCGCGCCAATTTACGCATCAATCGAGCTCAGTGTTGCAAGCAGCTGGTTTCCGAAACCGACTCGCAACACTCTCCGCAAAATGTAAACAATGCATTTTTTGGTATTTTGCGTTTGGTATTTTCAACAAAACAAACGCCGATCGCTCGCATTCCAGGCATCCCGACGACTTGATGACGGATGAAGATGATGGGGTGGGAGGGAGCTTAGGACGAGGAAGAGGACGATATAATAGATGCGCCCGAACAAGTTTTGGCATAAATACATAGAAATACTAGAAGAGTTATTTTTTACGGGGTTAGGGGAGGCTATTATATTTTGGTATTTTCCGCTTAGTCTTTTACGGTCCCACCGCGAGTCAAATAATAAATTAAGCAGAAATTTGATGATAAAAAAAATGAATAAGCTAGCTTCCAATAATAAGCCGAGAAGAACACCCAAGAAGATTTAACAAGTCTGAGTGAAAGGAGCTAGCTAGAACTTGCTGCAGAAGGCAAAGCAGAGCGAGGCGAGGACACTATCGACTCCAGACAACAACAAAATGGTCGATCGTGTGGCAGCTCTGTGCAATTATAATGTATTGGAGGTGGTGTTTTCCTACCTGGACCTGAACGACTTGGGCCGCTGCTCTCAGGTGTGCATACATAAAAATACAAATGTTATATGTGCTCTTATATACGAGGGCCTCTTCACCTCTTCTTGGCTTCTTACACTTATGCAGGTATGCAGGAGTTTTAGAAACTTCCTAAACGACGAGAACAGCGAAGTGTGGCGGTGGCATTGCCTAAACAAGCTTCCAAAGGATGTCACCAAATCTGAACTTCTGTCGCCCGTCCCCACCTACAAGACAAAGTTGCGAGCGTTCTTTCACTCGTGGAATCCCAGCGATTGCTCGCGCAATGTGTACATTAAGCCAAATGGATTCACCCTGCACAGGTAAGATAGTTTGATTGTAGCCTGAAAGGATATTATTGCAAAACTTTTGGGCTTTCGTTGTTAGGAACCCCGTGGCTCAGAGCACAGATGCTGCAAGGGCCAAAATCGGCTTTCGACACGGTCGCCATGCTTGGGAAGTCATCTGGGAGGGTCCACTGGGAACGGTAGCCGTAATTGGGATATCAACGAAGGAAGCGGCCCTGCAATGCCACGGCTATGTGGCCCTCTTGGGGTCCGATGATCAGAGCTGGGGCTGGAACCTGGTCGAGAACCATCTATTGCACAACGGCGACATGCAGGGAGGTTATCCATTGTTGAACAATGCGCCCAAATATCAGGTGGGCGAGCGGATACGCGTCATATTGGACTGTGATGATAATACTTTATCGTTTGAGAAGAACTACGAGTTTCTGGGCGTGGCCTTTCGAGGTGAGCTTATCTGGTGGTTCTTTTGTGATTTGTGATGCTCATTGCCAACTATTCTTCGTATCTGGTTTCAGGTTTGCCCGATAAAAAGCTTTTTCCCACAGTATCTGCCGTCTATGGCAACACTGAGGTGTCTATGGTCTATTGTGGCACTCCCCTAGACGGTTAGCTATGTCATAAGCAGATGCAGTGCAGCCTTAATTGCGTACAATTTGTTTAACAAATTCAATGGATCCATAATAGATTTATACCTAATCTGTACATGTAATCTCAATTATGTCTTCAATCATTCCCGCATACGGCTCAGTTTGATATCTTAAATATAGTTTCTAGGTTCTTTTTTGTACAAAAATTAAGCATTTTGTTGAGTTTATACCACGCCACGCCAAAGTTCAAATCCACCATCGCACACTATCCTCGAACGGCAACAATTACGTTAGTTATACGAACCAAATGAATATATTATAGCAGCCAAGCCAACCAATTCCGCAATGTTTGTATGTACATCCTGATCCAAGACATTTGCACAAATAAAACAAAATAATGAACTAAACGAAAGGTATTACCTATACTCCTACATGTATATTTGTCCCCATGGCCCAGGGTGGCTTACGTATAAGGTTTCAGTGCTTAATCTACTGTTTGGGATTGTCGCCAGTTTGCTTGACTTTGGCCCAATTGTCCTCATCAAACAGATCGTCGAAATTGTTGTAAAAATCGGCATGAACATGTTTATCATTGGTCATCATCATGCCAGTAGCGCCGCCAGACTATAAAGGCAGTGATAGTATAATTTCATCTTGTCTGATATCAAACATCAAACTCACCTCGTCCATTTCCATGTAGCCGGGGCCCTCAGAAAACATCTCATCGGCAGCTAGAGAAGGCTTCATATTGAGATCCATTGCTGGTTGGATTGGAATTTAATTATTTGTTTTCGTTTGTTTATATCAAAGTCTTCTGTGAAAATTGCCAGTGTTGCCAGTTTAAGAAGAAGACAGCAGGGTTGCAGCTAAACCAAACCATCGATATATCGAAATCTTTTACACTAATTTAAAAACATTACAAAGTGCTAAAAAAATGTAAGTTTATCGTCAGGAGATGATTTTCTTTTAGTGCGTTTAATTAATTTTCTAGACTTCTAAATCCTCTCCTCTGTTTTTTCTCATACGGTTCTCAACCGGCACAATTCGACGGTGCTATCGATGGTTTTGTTGCCAAGTGGCAGCTCGCTTAGCTTCGCCAAACAGCTGTTTTCACCGTCAAAAAATAAATAAATATTGCAGAAATGGTGCGCGTGGGACTTCAAATATCTGCAACATTGGAAAACATAGATAAAATAGAGACATGCCATCCAGATTATCCATTCTTCGTGAAGCTGACCTGCAGCAACTGCGGCGAGCAGTCGGACAAATGGCACGACATAACCGAATCGGAGCGAGTGCAGCAGGATACTCGCAACTCGGCCGGCTCTAACTTTTTCATGAAGTGCAAAATGTGCAGCCGGGAGAACAGTATTGATATTGTGGAGAAGTCGAACGGTGAGCGTCCATCCATTATCTAGAACTTCCACTCACTGATTCTCTCTCTGCAGTGGCCTACACGGCGGATGATAGTGGAAAACTCAAGACCATCGTTATCTTTGACTGTCGCGGCCTGGAACCTGTTGATTTCTCACCCCGCACCGGCTGGAAGGTTTTCTCCTCCGAAAATGGCCAGTCTTTTGAGGACGTCGATTTGTCCGAAGACGACTGGGTGGAGTACGATCAGAAGAACAACAACTCCGTTGGAGTCTACGAGTTTGCCTCAAAGTTCGTCAAGTTAAAGAAGTGATCAGTGATTGTTTCTCCTAATTCAATATTGTGAATAAATACATACGATACGCTCTCACTCTCCCAAAACAACATAAATAGGATCTGCTCTTTCGATGCAGAGAAATGACGCATTTTACAGATGGTGAAAGTAAACAACAATCTTTCTCTGGTTGCAAGAGCAGGGAGAGTTTCATTCGCATTACGCCAGTTCAGTTCAGTTCTCTCGCAATGTCGTTGTATTGATTTTAATGCCGGCTACTTTTATTTTAGAATGAGAAAGAACAGCGAAAGATAGCGTTCTAGTAGCAAAACGTTTGTGCCCTTCTGTTTGCGTTTGCATGATGATTTGAGACATTTTAGTATTTCGCCAGACGTTGCGGTGAGCGGTAATGGAACGAACGAAACGGATAAAATCCCGGACCGAAACAACAGGCCGCCAATACTGACAGTTGAAAGTAATTGGAGCCCCAATCACTGAATGTTGAAGCATTAATAGCAACTGTAAAACACCTGTCAAGTGCGATAATAGCGGGTCATCGTGTGGCAAGCAGAGCAAATGTGAAGTGAAATAATTATATTTTGAGGTTCGTAAGTGCATCGTTAAATGGACCCCGTACCGATTAGATAATGGGAGGGCCCCCAGCTTATCGTCTGGCCTAGACCCTGGACACTTAGTCAATGCACCTGACCAGTTGTCAAATGTTCCCACCAACTCGATGAATTAATAAGGCATGCGAATGCTAATAGTTGCACTTCCACCCGACCCAAAACCCCATCCGGATCCCAGACTAGGCGCTGGGCAATTCCCCCCATGGCTTGGCTTTTCGCTCGCTCATCCATTATTCAGCTGTGAATCTCAATTTATGGCCAGCACGCATCAATCATTTATCGCGGGCCTGGGGGGCATCTCCAACCCGATGCATTCTAGACTTTTGCTTACTTTACCGCTGTGTGGCATGCAACAATTCATCTCAATTGGCCACGATTGGATTGCATGCATGCACAGTCATATACATACATATATGTACTTAGTGTTCGTTTCAAGAAGCTGCCACCATTCATTGATCATGAAGCATATGTACTTGTAATTAATAAGTTGCTAAGATGTCACACCATCTGCCCCAGCCAGGGATCTCGACAATACGATACCCAGTAGTCAGATGCAAATTACAAAAGGATCCGAGCTCTTCTTGAACCCCAAGTATTGCTGTTTCTACGGCTTTACTTTTAGATGATAACGAAAAGCATATTGCTTAAGACACAAAAACAATTCGTTAATCTCTAGCAGAGTACATACGTATATCAACCGATCTACAAATTTGACTGAGTAACGTCTTTGATAAGCCAACGCACAAGTGTACAGAATAGGATGTAACACTCAATTCCTTTGAACCCCTGTAGCCGGTATAAATAAATATTCTATAAATATATAATTATGTATTATGTATATATGTATCTTCGAAGATTCCATTCACATACAAACACCACGCTCTCCTCAGGTCTTCAAGAGCAGGGCCTTTGATGTCTGACTGAACAGATACGCCCTATATACGACGCATCGCATGACTCTGGAGCAGCGGCCAAGTGACTTATTATTGAACAAGTATCAAGATATCTACAAGAGATATTTTCTGGGTAAGGGATAAAATGTCACATTCAGCATCTGGACCGGCAACAGACGTATTGGACTTTGATGAAATACTCAATCAAATTGGGGAATTCGGACGCTATCAGCGGCGGAACTATCTGCTTATCTGTCTCCCGGTTCTCTTCGCCGCTGCAAACAGTCTGTCGTATGTGTTCACGGCTGGCACGCCCACCTATCGCTGCTACGTACCTGGGTGTGACAGCATCGAGGCGCCAGACTACCAAGCCGACTGGGTGCCCATAGCGGTGCCTGGTACTTGGAACAAGAAGGGCTCCTTTAAGCCAGCCATCTGTGAACGATATGTGGCCAATGAGACGAGTACTTTCAGCTGGGAGTCTCTGCAAGCGGAACAATGCACGGCCGCTAACTTCACACAGGAGAAGGAACGTTGCCTGCAGTTCGTGTACGGTAGCCAGGAGCGAACCATTTTGCAGGAGTGGCAGCTGATGTGCGAAGAGAATGCCTGGAAGCTGGCATTTGTGGGAACGACACATTTTGCGGGTCTGGTGATCGGTACCGCGTTATTCGGTTACCTTGCCGATCGGTGAGTCTGATCAATCCACTCTATCCCACCCATTCAGTATCAGTATCTCCGGTTCATCTCAGATTTGGACGCAAGCGCATATTCCTGTTCTGCATCCTTTTCATGGCTGTGACTGGAATAGCGCAGGCCCTGGCATGGGATTACATCAGTTTTCTGAGCTTTGCCCTGCTAAATGCCGTTGGCACCTCCGGCGTGTATCCGCTGGCCTTCATCATTGGCGTGGAGATGGTGGGTCCGAGGAAGCGGGAGATGTCCTCCATTGTGCTCAACTACTTCTATGCGGTGGGCGAGGCCCTGTTGGGGCTGTCCATGTTCCTTTCCGATTGGCGGCAGTTGCAGCTGGTCCTTTCCATACCACCGCTGATATTTTTGGGGTACTTTTGGATTGTGCCGGAGTCGGTGAGATGGCTGCTGGCTCGCAACCAGCGGGAGAAGGCTGGCGTGATTATTCGGAGAGCGGCGGAGGTCAATCGCCGGGATATTTCCATCGAGTTGCTGGCCAGTTTCAAGCAGCAGGAACTGGACATGGAAAGTACCGCCTCCGATCAGAAGGAGAAACAGGAAAATAGCCAAATTTGGCTGGCCGTCAAGGAGGTGTTTGCATCTCATATTCTGATCGTTCGCTATGCGAACATGCTCTTCATTTGGGCCGTCAATGCCATCGTCTACTACGGACTCTCCTTGAACTCGACCAGTTTGAGTGGCAACAAGTATCTCAACTTTACCCTGGTCTGCCTTGTGGAAATCCCCGGCTACAGCTTGGCGTGGGTACGTTCCGTTTGAGTATCCCACAGTTCCAAAATTGACAGGTCCATCTTCTTTTCACAGCTGTGCCTGCGGAAGCTTGGCAGACGCCTGGCTCTGTCTGGATCCCTGCTGCTCTGTGCGGTCACATGTGTGGCCAGCGGCTATTTGACTATGAGTAGGTGGTGTACTTAACAATTTAGACTTAAGCTAATTCTTATGCGATTTCTGTGCATGCCCGCAAAGTAAAAGTCGATGGGAATCCCAGCGGACTTCGAGGTGAGGGTAAATGTTGGTGGAGTCGGGCCCACCTCCTTGTTTGTTTGCATATCGCTTTAGTCATGGTTAATGTTTGCCTATTCTTGATTGCGAATAATGTTTATTCTTCTCCAAATCCATCCAAGGGGCCAACTGGTTAATTGTGTCGCTCTTTCTCATTGGAAAGCTTGGCATTACGTCCTCGTTCGCCGTCATCTATACGTACACCGCGGAAATGATGCCAACGGTGTGTGAGAAGAACCTTCAAAGTGTCCCATTCGATTGACATACATTCTTCTGCAGGTCATACGTAGTGGAGGCGTTGGCGTCATGTCCACCTTTGCTCGCTGTGGAGCCATGCTGGCTCCCTTTGTGCCGCTGCTGGTAGGTTTTTCGTACATTCAATCCAACCGTGTTTGCCATCCACGCATTTTCATCCACGCAGGGATCATACTACGAGCCCCTTCCGCTGCTGCTCTTTGGAGCCGTCTCGCTGATGGCTGGTCTCCTCTCGCTGCTGCTGCCGGAAACCTTTCACATGAAGCTGCCCGATACGGTGGGTTTCGGAGGTACCCTACGATATTATATTGATATCTTATCTTACATACATTGCAGGTGGAAGAGGCCATCGCTTTGGGCAAATAATAAAGGCAGGCAGTTGTTGTAGGAGCCATTCCTGCGTATACAATCTCTCATCAATTAGACTTAAATTATATAATTTGATTAATCTTAGGACTGTACACGTTAGTAAACGTTTGCACACCTCGTATGTAACAAGTAACAAGTGTCTCCAATCTCCTGCTTCTTATGTATTAATCGCCAAACAGACCCTCAAATAATTGACGATCTGCTATGTTGCCAAAACGATTCAACAACTTGTAGCGCCTTTGGGCATCACTCCGCAGGGTAATGGACAGAACGAATCTCAGTCGGCTCGTTGATCCCCGCTCCCAGCTGGGCAGCAAATCATCGGTCTCCACCAAAGTCTCAACGCGGCGACCCCAGAAATCCACATAGGCCAGCTTCAGCATGTCCTGCTGCTCGTTGATGTAGATGAATCCAACGAGATTTGTCGCCGCATAACTGGCCAGGGTTAGTGTTATCAGCCCGCTGACTCCTATGGCGGAATAGATCCCTAGTGCATCCGTGGCAACGTGCCCGGCCTGTCCAAGAGCAAAGGCAATGGGCGCCCCGGCGGCTGTAAGAGCAGCCTGATAGATTTTGAGCTTATTAAATGCAGCCACCAGTCGTATTGATGGCAGGCTGTAAATGGTTCGCCATTCCGAAAAGGAAGCGTCGTCGTCGAGTGACGCTGTTCTCCCGGCAGCGGGTTTAGTTGTGAGGCGGCGTTGATTTAACTGTTGTATCGCTGCAGGCACAGATGCACTTGGGCATCGTACTTTTGTTATATGAGATCTGCACAGTTGCCGCAACACTAAATTTAAAAGGATTTAAGTCAAAATATCAACAAAATCTTATGTAAAAAATCGTACTTGCGTTGTTTTGAAAATAAGCCTCAATCAGCTGTGCAGCTATCGATGACACACGTGCCAGTACCAGTGCTGCCCAGCAAGTCATGATATATAGCCGCCATTTTTGAATTTCAGCAGGCGCCATGCAGAGTTCCATGACGTCAACTTTTCGCACATTGAGCATTAGTTTAATTATAGCCAAAGCCAGATGATTGCCCGGCGAGCAAAGAGAATGATCAATAAATAATTCGCTAGCACTGAATATCAGTCAGCGGCCAGTTCTCAGCGTTCGCGGCGGCCCTTCTGCGGGACAGACATTTCGCTCGAATTGTATCCAATCCTCCAATTGCGTAGTATGTATTTTCTGAGATAATCCATCATAGCACAGCACCCGACATACGTACACCAAAAAAGAACTTGAACTTGGATATAAATCACTTCTGGCATTGTAGTGCGAGGTCAAATCATTTCTGAAGAACACATTTTGTGAGAAAAAAAAAAGATTGTCACTTTACAATAATTGCAATAACAACAAAGGGGACCCAAAGAAAGAACCGTTTCGTAGCTATTTTTAGAGAATTTTTCGTGTGCTTAGAATAGTCGTGTGGTGTGTGACATGAACATGCATATGCATTGGAAAAAAAAAGTGTTGCACTCATCCTCATCCCCGGCCAAGGTTGGGGCAGGACAAGACCTAGTGTCAGCTTTGAAAATCCATAGCATATCATCAACAAGGAGTACCGTTCATTATTGAAATTTTTGTAGGACATGTCGATGGCATCGCTGGGTGTCAGCGGGATCTTTATGGTCGGCTGCTGTGTTGCTGCCCAGATTGCACGCCTGGCCAGCCGGCGCTTGGTGACACGGGAGGGAATTGTGCCCATTCTGGTCAACGAGGCGATAGCCGCCGCCGAGCTATGTGCCTGCTGCTTCGAGCTGATCATAGGTGAGTGAGGAGGAGTGGATGAGTGGTGCATGTGCGATGGACTCGAGTGTGGGCTAAGGTTTTGCCGTTGCCAGTGGCTGACAATTTTGGCGTCGCCGCCTATGCTGTCTGCCTGTTCGTGCTTACGGTGTGGTGGGGCAAGGTCTGGGGCGACGCCTCCGCGTGCCCCTACACCCACATGGAGGACGTGCTGGAGGGGCGCACCAGCTTCAAGGAGATGGCACTGTGCACATGGGCCGAGCTGATGGGCGGCTGCTGCGTCTATCGCATCGTGCAAGTCTTCTGGTGGCTGGAGTTCGCGGAAACCCACAAGGGACGGGCCTTCGAGTCCTGCAGTGCCGATCTACAGGTCAGCCCCTACCTGGGGGCCGTGATTGAGGGCGTGGCCACACTGCTGTGCCGCCTGGCATCGAAAACCCTCAGCGACAAGGAGCCCAAGTTCGCCAGCTACATCGACTCGTTCATCGGCACCAGCCTGGTGGTGGCAGGTAAGCGTGCGCCCGCTTAAAGCGTGCCTTCCAACTGCTGTCATCTGTTCTCAAGTAGTTTACGCTTTCAACTATGCCCTGCTTGCAGCCTTCAACTTCTCCGGCGGCTACTTCAATCCGGTGTTGGCCACCGCCCTCAAGTGGGGTTGTCGCGGCCACACCAACTACGAGCACATCATTGTCTACTGGATTGGTGCCTGCGTTGGTGCTGTGCTCTCGGTGCCGATCTACAAGCTGCCTATAGTTCGACGCTTCCTGCTCGGCGAGGATAAGCCAAAACAGGCCTAGGAGCATCCCCAAGGCTCTGAAATGGGAACGGGACGGACGGGGCTATCGAGAAGAAGCTATAGAATATGTTGGATTTCTTATTTACCTTATACACTTGCACATGCACATTTGTTGTAACATTTCGATATTTCCTAGAGAATTTGTACATATTAAAACCTATGTTGAGCGTATTTTCCTGTTTTATCTGTTTCGCTATTTTATCTGCATACTTTCATCATTTATAGCCAGTGGTCGGGTAGCATAAAGAGAGCTTTCAACAGCTCTGAATCTAATCCGAAGGCAGTCTTTTTATTCCACATATAAAGTGCCTAAAAATGGATCACAATTCAAAATATATCAAGGTAGACTTTAGATTGGCTGTCAAGAGGAATATAATATATAAATATATATATAATATACATTACATAGCATTACATTAATATTAGCAACTGTGAAAATGTTTAAGATCCAAAAGGTTTTTTGCATTCTGGAGCTAAAATGGGGAATGTTACTTATTGGAATCGTGGAACTAATACTGTGTGCCTGTCTCGCTGGGATTTGCAAGGGTAAGTGGAGTACATAGTATTCTCCTTCTTCAAACAGTTCTTCATGGCACTATCTGTTTAGGAATGCACGTGGAGATTATTTACTATCTCAGTATGATTATCTCCCTTCTTCACATTATCGCCTGTATAATGCTTTTGATATCCATTGGCGTGGTATGTGTCTTTGATCAATCATTAAGCTACGATATGCATTATTGAAGACCCATTTTGTTTTTTATGTGATTTTCAGCCTAAGAAGGAGCTGGTGATTCCCTACGTGATAACTGGTATCATACGATTCATTGTCCTTTTAGTGGGTATCATTTGGCTGGTGGTTTACGGATTAACTCATAAGTTCTACAATTACCAACCAATCCACACAGAATCCATTATTGTGATGTTGATATCTTTGAGTAAGCATGTTTAATATCTAATTTCTGGCCTACATAGTGCTCTGCTTTGGCCCACAGTTATTGCCGTGTACTTTTGGTTATGCGTCTACTCATGGTTCAAGAAACTCGGTGGCTCTACCCCAATTGATTAAACAGCCAACCATCGGTAGCTGCACAATCCTGGACCTTGACAAACCATTCTCAATACTCCAACTCCAATACGACAGAGATGAGTCTCCAAACAAACTCATTTGAAATTCAGTCGCCAAAATACATTAAATTGATATGCAAATAATATCACTCGGTGCGGTACCTTGTTTTTTCTATGTATGTACACCAGAGTCGTATTTTGAAGGATTTGCTTACTGTTGTGGTGGACAGACTTCCTGGTATCCAGTATCATCTGAAGGATGGTAGCACGCTCCATCTTCTGTAGTCGATCGGTCGAAGATATAGGCACAGAAAAATCACGCGCTATTGGTTTTCAGGGCTTAAATAGCGAAGGTAGATAGAAGGTACGGCACTTTTAAAGGGTTCTTATACTAAATAATAATTACCATGACTGTTTAATAAGCATCCAAGCCCTATAGATCATTTACATAATATTAAATATGGAATTAATGCGATTGCATCAGATTGAATCGACCGCCGCCGAAACAATAAAAAGCTTTTTCCAATCTACCAATTAATTTAAGCCTTGCTTTTCGTGCAGTTACCAAAGTTTACACCAAAAGGGAATCATACCCCAGCCACAAACAGCAGATAGGCCAGAAACAGAGTCACCTCCGTGCTTAAAGGGCACTGCCATACCTGTTGACTTTGCGTTGCGCCAGAAATATGTTCATTCATACATATCCCAGAACCTTGTGACGCTGAAACTTTGACGGGAGTAAACTCCACAGCGTAGCTGGAACTGGAATTGTACTCATCCAATTCTAATTTATTCCCAGTTATCCACAAGCGGTTTAAGATCAATTCGAACATTTATTAACAAACATGCACCACAGAACTACAACTAGATCACTGCTCCCCCACTTCACGTCTATGTACAGAGGACTGGCCCCATAGGCTTCGGCCTCACATCTGGCGAGGCATCGACAGCAGGCCACCGGCGGCAGTGGCGCCCAGGAGCTGTCGCACCGTCTGCAATTCGTCGCGTAGGGCCAGCACTTGAGCCCGTAAGATGGAGTTTTCCTGCTCCAGAAGAGCGGCCCGAAACGCAATGCGATCCTCTCGTATCTTGCGGGCATCCCGGGACTTTTTCGCCGCCTCGTTATTCCGCTTCCGCCGCTCATAGTACTTGGCATCCTTCTGAGCATCAGGAATCGGTCGCTTCTCGCCGCGGGACCGTCGGTGCAAGAAGCCGGGAAACATGCCGCCCACAACGCCCACACGATGATTCAACTCCATCAGAGGGAACTCCAGGGCATGCAGCGCGTGGTTGGGCGGAGCAATGTACTCGAAGGCGGGCAGAGTGGACGCAGCAGCAGCAGCAGCTCCGGCGGAGTTCTTGCCATTGATCAGGTTGGGAATACTGAGGCCCTGCAGGCGTAGGCTGTGACTGTGACTGTGACTATGACCGTGACTGTGCGGAGTTCCAAAGGAATACAACGATTTTTTCGGTTCAAATTCCAGCTCCATTTCGCTGTGCAACGATAGGGTTTCGGTCACGTCCAGGATGGGCGATTTGCACGGCGTGGACGGAGGTGCCTGTGCCTGCGCTGAAGGCGATGCGGGGGAGTGCATCCTGGCCAACATTCTGGCGATAAGCCTCGGACTTCCGTACGCGCCAACGTCCGCGGTGTGTCTGAAAGCGGAGCTCTAAAAGCTTGATTCCTGGTCTGGCGACCACCTGCCTCGTCTGATAATTATAGGTTCCTGTCACACAACCCCATCCGCATCCCCCTGGCAACCCCACCACAGATAGACGATTTGGTTGGGGACCCCGGCTAAGTTCTAAGCCAGCCAGAACGCCCTCCCGTCTGATTCAACCAATCACGCAATGTTGACGGTAATTATTCGTCAAATACATGACACTTTTCCACGCCGACTGGCATTTATATTGCTGCCCGGTTACAAGGACTTCATATAACTGGTTAGTGGGATTACACCCGCCCATTCCCCGAGCCCAGGCAGCAGTCCGTTGACCACATGTCGCCCTGATTTACCCACCCGCCTCGGCCCTAGGTTATATATGAGTTGGCCAACTATTATGCGGCGCACGAGCTGGTGGCAGGGGCAAGGACCGAACTGAACTGAGCTGAGCTGGCCAATGGGAATGGCCGAGGCTCGGCCGTCATTTTATTGGGGAAAGTTGCGCCGATAAGTGGATGTAATGGTATGTAAAATGGGCGGACTAGAAACGCTCAAGTTAATGCCAATCGATTTTTGCAATCAGCTATATCTTTCACTATCTTTCCCAGGAGGTGTAACTCCAAAAAGCTCGCCAAAAAGTGCAACGTCAGACCGCCTCGACTCGGATTTGACGAAGCCTTCAAAAGAAGACATCAACCGAACAAATCCCAACTCCAATTTTGATCCAGCATGACTCTCCAGAATGCGCCATACTTTTCATGGAGGAGTATCACTCAATGATAGAATAGAAGTCCCGGAACGCTACTATTAGTGTCTTCGCCCGCGTGTCTTCGTTCAACCCGTTCATGTGCCCCATTTCGTCCCGTCCCGTCCCATCCCGTGCCGTGCAGTTGAGAAAGTGTCACCTGTTTGTAAAGGTTAATTGGCAGTTTGAGCCCCGGGCAGCACATCGTGGCCGGAAGTTAGACGGCAAAACAGTCGCATCCTCATAACATTTCATAAGCTATGCGCTAATTTATTATCTGTGGGCAAAAGTTTTGCCACAGTTAACCCTTTGACTGGCGTGGCACCGAGTTATGTCTACTATTATTCGATGTCTTTTATGGCCGGGACGTTCGCCTAACAATGGGTTGAATCCGGAATCCGGAATCCGGAATAGAAGGATTGCGTGCTGGGGTGACATGTCTGATCGAATGGAAGAAGGGGTTAAGCATACATATTTAAAAAATATACATATGTAAATATAAATATAAATAAATATATGTAATATAAATATACATAAGTACATCCAAAATGTCTCCTTAGCTAGTAGACAAATCTATAAATTGCCTGCCACATCCCCAAGGACCACGACTAATGCAATGGGAGGAACCCTTCGGACACAGACTATTTTACTACGAGTATTAGGCAAATTACCAGGTAATAAAATACCCCGTACCCCGAAACATGTAATTGTTTCAATATTTGTACTCTATTCTACTAGATCAATAATTGGAGAGCACACCGAAGGGACACACGACACTCGACCCCGACAAACCGTTAATGACACCTCTAATTGGATGACATTAACGCTGGGGATTCGGGCCAAGACAACCCAAGGCCCCGAGTAGGCATGACTAAGTAGGCCCTGCCCAAAATGGGTGCACATATGTAAGCCCTGCTTTGCCTGTCCGAGATATACAGGGGAAATAGTGTATTATATTAAACGAGTAAATATAGAACTGCCAGGAGCCTGAGATCAGAATGTGTGACGAAGCACCCATTTGCGACTGTGAGCCGAGCACCTCGAGTCTGCCCTTCAACACCTATCACATCCACTTGCCGCTCTACATCATGGACATGGTGCGCGTCTTTCAGGATCATCCGGACTACGTCGATGGCATACAGGAGACTACTATCGTTGAGATGCTAAGAAAGGAGTAAGATAAGATACAATTTGCCGCATTTGCATTTAAGCTAAGCCAAATTATCCTCCATCATTATAGACCATTCGCCTGTGGCGATCTGGAAGCTCAGGTAAAGACCGCAATGATAGACCTCCATGCCAAGGGATTCGTGCGTTATATTGGCAATGGTTTTCGCACCCTGGGACCCATTGCAAAGCTGTCGAATTCCCGATCTGCGCGTCACTTCAACCAGACCTGGCAGCGCATTGCCGCCCTGCAGAAGCCCCACGGTGCCTGCCTGGAGGATTCCACCAGCACTGGCAATAGCCCTCAGCCAGGGTCCAGCTGCTAAGCATGGACGGAGAGCATTCAACTCTCCCTAAATACATTTATTGCGTTGCTTGTTTCGTTTAATGAGTTGAGTTTCTACAACATAAGCAGACAATTTTACACCCAACCAAACAGCTATCCAAATTGTATCCGTGTAGTAAAATTCGTGCTAAGAAGGCCGCCAGCCAGCAAATCAAACTAGATGTGTGGTATTTCTATCCATAGAACTATATGTAGAACTTGGGGTGGTTCGTTCGGTGGCCATCATCGTCATCATCATTATGCTTGGGAACATATGTCGGGCATGGGGGGGGGTCGGTCTCTGCCATCCTTTTGACACTTAACCGGCCGCCTAATTATGGCCAGGGGTTGGCCACAACACCGAATAGCCGAATGAAGAACATTGCCAGGTGCCTCTGTCTATCTACCGAACGATACTCCTAATACTCCTTCCCGCAAGTGATTCAAATCTGAGAATTGAGCAAGTCCAAGCTCTACTTAAGGGGGTACGTACATATATTGTAGATTCGGTTCCGGCAAGTCCAGTCAGTTGTTGCAATTCACAGTCCGGTCGGAAGCTCATCCCTGGTGGCACCGTGCTCTGAGCGACCCTTGGACCCTCAGCCATTACCCTTTTGGCCGAAACATTTAAATTGTCAACACCAGGACAAAGAGCAGAGGACCTGTCCTCAATGTACGCTCCACCCCATTCCATCCACATGTGCGGGCCAAACACGCATGTGATCCCGGCCAGGTGTTATTTATTGCCTTTCTAATCGTTGCGGCATAATCTATTAGCACCCCGCACCGCACCTCACCGGATCCAGGACGAGACCAAGCCTATGGCTCGGTGTCCTTTGATTTTTTTGCGCTGCTTGCACATTAGAGGCAATTATTATTATTGTTTTAGTTTTGAGGCTTTTGGCTGCTTGTCATTTGCCTTTGCCGTTGCCTTCTGTTTTGCGTTGGGTTGACAATTGGGCGAGTCCCAAGAAAAACATTAATCAATTGACTTGACGTGTGAGCGAAATGAGGAGTATACTATACATAGATAGATAGGAATATATGTATTGTTTATTCGGTAAGGATATGGCTAAAAAATCTAAGCGAGGATACGTGATTCAAAGCTATCTAATTAAATCGGACATGTTTGTCTCTCTCTTTTAATCTACAGGAACCGTCAAGGGGCTTGCCCAGTCTATAGGAATTGTCAATGTTTGTTTTAAATTAATATACGATAATTAACCGTAAAGTAAGGAAAGTTAAATATTCTCCTTTGTGGTCCTATTCAAATGGTTTGGGACCATCCTCTTCGGGCTGTGCATAGCCGCGCTTCAGCATTTGCTCGAAAAGTTTGGCATTATCGCCAAGGAATCGAATCTGAAAGCTATCGTGCAGACGACTGACCAGCATCACGTCTTCCTCCACGTTGAGTATTTTGCTTTTTAGATACTCCATACACTCGGCGGCTTTCTTTGGGGACAAGGAGCTCTTGTGTGCGACGCCCTCGATGTAGCAGCCAACGGCGCGATGTGGCCGAAGACTGTCTACATCTCCGCAAGGAACCAGAGCACTTAGGGGCACAAACTCTGTATTCCCATAGTCCACATAAAATATCTTATAGTCGCCTTCCGATTCCTCTATGACCTGAGCGCGGTAATAGCAGCCATCGTTGTAGCGAGCCAAGACAATGTCCAACAAATGCGGCTTATGCTTGAACTGACTCTTGGCCCCTAGCACATCATTCTTGCTCCATACCAGAGGGGGAGAGCCATCCACAAATTGACCATAGACTTCCGTGGTGCTACTCACGTAGGTTATCAACATTCTCACTGTGCTGCCTAATTCTCGAGAGAGCGGCGTATCAAACATGGTTTCCGGCAGAGCTTCTGCCACCTCCACGTCCTTGGTGGCGCCATGAGGGGCAAAAGGCTCGTGCACCAAACGACAGTTAGCACCTAATGTTAAAAAATAGTTGGATTAATCATTTTCGTAGAGCTTTGATTACTTTCTGTGCACAGACTTACCCTTGAAGCAACCATTGAGCTTCGGATCATAATGCCGACAGATGCGTTGTTGGTCTCTGGGCCTGAAGCCCAGTACAGCCTTTAGCGGATCACTGGTGCCCTCATCAATCTCGTTGAGCATGGCCATGTCTGCCTCGCTTAACTGTGGGCCCTCGTACGACCAGTCCTCGCTTGACTGTGCTCCTTCTTGGACTGCTTTTGACTGATCTGGATTAGTATGCACTGTCTCGCTCAATTGTGGACCCTTGCTTGGTTCCTTGCTTGGCTGTGGGTCCTCTCGCTTGGCTTGGCCATTTCTCTCGGTTGGAATATAATCAGAGGCAGCTGATTTGTCTGTAATCTCGCTGATACGACAGTTTTTTGCGTCGCCCTCCGCTACTTCAACTATTAAATCTTCACCACTGTTTTGCAAAACACGCAAGTTCACGCTCTTGAACCGGAACTTCATCATAGAGGCCACATCGCCTTCTCTGAAAAAGCATCTAATGGCCTCCGCCGGCAGCTGCCGTATGTCATCTGGTAGGGCAAAAATACTTTCTTCGCCATTCATGTGTATATGCTCGCCGTAGTCAATCAAATAGGCATCATAGCCACCGCCGTCGGCATAATCATTGATTATGACACGTGGAACGATCTGTTCGTTGCAATCGTACACCGCAAATATCTCACCGAAGTTTGGCAGTTGGTCCAGTTCATTCAGAAGTATCTTCCCCTGGAGTACCCTTTGCAGCGGCTGTGCATCCCATTTGCCCACAAAGAAACAGTTATCTACTATGTTTAGATGCATCACGGCGGCGTTTATGACACTTCCCTCCGGAAAGGCGGCCGTGTTCTTTACGATCTGTTGATATATTTCACTGCTGGTTGTTCTTTTTCCGCCTAACGGAGGCTTGAGGACTCGTTTGCGGGGGCAAATGGGCAGCATGGCAGCATGGGCCGCATCTTGTGGCTGTGCGGGAGCGGGCGGTGGGGCCGGAATGGCTTTTGGCTGGGGCTTTGGGACTTCTTCATCTGGTTTAATTAGCCAACTCGAACGCGTGGATAGCGAAAGTCTATCTGCAACCGGCTTAACCCGCGGCAGCGCCGACTCCACATCTCGCACAAGCGGTGCCGAGTCCTTGATTTTTTCGATTGTCGGTAGTCGCTGTGGACGTTCATCCAAGACATTTTCCACTTCAATGCCATGCTTGTTCGTGTGCGTCAGGGTGTCGTTGAGCGGCAAAGGTTCGTCGCCGTTGCCGACATATGGCCCGAGCTTGTTTAGATTGATTTGCATGTTCCACTTGATCACGTTTTCATTCATTATACTCATTGTACTTAGCAAGATATCGTGCAGACCGATAAGCGCCCTATCCCCTTTATCCACGTTCACCCAGCGTTCGTCCAGAACTTTGTACAAAATGTTCGAATCTCGCGTAAAGTTTCTCAAATTATCTTGCAGCTTTTCCACGTTCTTTTCGCACAGCTGCTTTACTGCTATGAAATCTTTCAAATCCATTTCATTTCTTTTCAATCGTTCCTCTTTAAAACAAAATTTAATTTCTACTTGCTCGAAAAACTTTGCCGCAAATAACTGTAAATACGGTCCGGTCCGACAAGGGGTGCAAAACCATCGAAGCCATGACACTATCGCTAATATCGATGCTTAGTAGCCCTAGCTAGCTGTAAGTGTTGCATAATACATAAACATGTATATAAAATCATGCGTTGCCAACACTTGTAGCGGATTGCGCTTCTTTTCTGTGTATTTTGCTTGATTTTGTAAAAAGGAGAAATAAAATGAATGATAACACAGTGTCCACCTTTGTGAGTAGTTTTGTGTTATATGCTCTTAGCTGGTAACCAAATAACGCTTCGTTTTAGGAGCTGGGCGACGCTCTGTCCACCCGCTGTGGAAACACGCTGACCGGCGTTTTTGTGCCGGGCTCAAAAATAGCCCTCAGTGCCTACCGGCACGTCAAGTGGAACTCGCGAGATGTCCCCACCGAAACAGCCGGCCAGGATCCCGTGCTCATCTATCTGGCACAGGAGACTACACTGTTTGAAGAGCCTGTCCTGCGAAGTCTGCTCTCCGAATCGAACGTCACCTTTGCAACGCTGCAGGAGCTGGGCCAGAAGGCTCCTAGGACGGAATATCTGAGAATTTCACATGCATATCGCAGCTTGGTGCGGGCCTGCCTGGAGAGGCTGGAGCATGCCAAACGGTCGCCAGAGGTACAGACGGATGAAGACCGGGAGCGACGAATATCCGAAAGCATTATTGTCTTCTATGCGGCAGAGTGTCTCTGGCATCTCTTTGAGATTCTCTACATGCAGCAAAATCAACTTGTTGTCCCCCAACTGCTCGACTGGGCACGCTTTTATGCACCGCAAATCGAGGATCGAGCCACCGATTTTCTACTGATGGCGGAGGACGCCAGCGAGAATGATGATTATTGGACCGTCCTGAAGTCGCTAGTCATGGTGGGCGCACTGGACGTCACTCGTGCCATCCTTGTCCAGAATCGCAAGGCTAGCCAGCCAGCATTCAAGGCAGCCGAACTGATACTTACATCAATGCCCGTCTATCAAGAGGGATTCCCACTGAAGAAATTCCACTCGCAATGGGAGCATTGGCACGTGGATGCGGAGCGTAAGATCCAAGCGAATACATTTGGCTCTGAGCCAGAGCTGGAGGAGCTCCTTCAGCTGGTCACAGGCAACAATGAGCTATGGGATGCCGGCATCCAGGAGTCAAACGAATGGTACGAATTCCTGCCTGGCTATCTGCTCTACACCAAACCCACCTGCAAACCCTTTGAGCTGAGAATCGCTGCTGCCAATTGGTTGAACCGATGGACACTGCTCCGGCCCGACATTCGGTTGAACAACATGTCCCGAATGATCTCGCAGCTCATGGAGCATGATCTAAGGCTCTTTATTTACGATACCCAGAAAATCAACGATACCCACTGGCTAACCACACATTTGATCGATTTGATCTATCATTCCGGCGAGCTAAAGGGCTATTTTGAGCAAAACAACATGTGAGTTGATTTCATTTGAAGGTTATTTCTTTTTTTAATCAAAGTATCCCCGTTAATATTTAGTGATCTTCCGGCACTGCGTCACTCGTTGATATACGAGTATGGCAGCTATTTGATGACCACACGCAGCCTATGGCAGCTGGGAGTTGATTACTTGGACTGTTGCAAGCAGGAAGGTAAAGCGGCCATGGATCTGCTTCTGCCACGCATACCGCTGCGTAGCGACCGGCATGCCCTTAAGCTCATCAGCGTAGCCAGGCAGCGAGGTCTGATTAATGTGGAGCAGGAGATATGCAAAGTACTCTCCAGGCAATCCTTCGACGAAGAGCGCTTTGGCAACGCCCTAGAATGGGCCATTCGCTCCAAGGATGTGCTGTTGGTCACGGGAATAGCTGACTTTATATTGAAGGTGACGCCAAAACTCCAATCTCTGTTTGATTTAATTATAAATTGAAGCATTATTTTACGTCGTTTTAGAACTATTCCAAGACGGGCAATATGCTTTGTCCGGACGTTATTATCAGCCTTGGAAGTCGCATGTTCGTCTCGCCACGTTTAGTTTTCCTCTCCAAGTACTTTGAGTTCTACGAGCTATATCGCAATCGCGACTTTCTGTCTGCTGTCGAGCTACTGGTCAATCTATTGAACTCCAAAATAACTCCAGACTAGTAAGTATTCAATGTGAACGAGATCCATTCAATTTAATAGTTTCATTTTCCTCCCCCGCCCAACAGCTTTTGGCCTTCTTTGCTCATTGACACTGTGCCACTGCTAGAGTCAAAGGATCCTAAAATCTTCTCAAAGGAAACTGTGGCGATACTGCATCATATGGAAACGGAGCTGGTGCCCATTATAGAGCGCAACACGAACCAATTAGGACACGTATGTTTATCCAGTGCCAGAGCCTTGCAAATTTATTCCATATTCTATAATATATTTGCAGAACAACGCAGAGAGCGTGTTCAAGGACTATCGCGTGGAAAATGTAGATGAGATTCTCAATATAATGCGCTTGGCCTGCGCACGCAATTTGGCCAGGGCCCTGGTCATTGAAAACACAGGGCTAGAATTGTAAATTTGAATGCATTTATAGTATAATTTATTTTTGTATTTTCTTTTTCCAATACATCGTAATTTGTTATATACCTTTTTGTTTGCATTACTAATCCATTATTCATACGCTTTTTTGTTTCTTGTGCCTCTTTGTCTGCTATTTATTGTACCAACAATGCTACTTTGACTGCCGGCTGCGGCTACGGCTACGGCTGCCCATTGACTAAACAGAAATCCAAGCTGCTTGAGGGGCTGGGCTGGAGGGATCTTCACAGTACACAACTATAAGAAATTAGGCTCCGCTCCGAAAACCATCAGCAATACTGACGACTCTGTTGAGCAAATCTCTACCAACCAAAAATCTGTCCGCATTCCAGAATTCTAAACTAGTGTAAACAGTGGATGGGGTGGCAATGGTATGGTATAGAGGGGGGAATAGCCGTTCTCTGGAATCTGATGTGCGGCAAATCCAAACAATGCCCAAGCCCAAGTTTAAAACAAGATTAAAAGCCTAGGAAAACAATTCTAAGGGACTTTAGCTGCACTGAGGATAAAGAAGTTTACACGCGTACCTAAGAACTATTAAACAACGCACAGAGCACAATGGACTACTACACACATATATATATACTATGTATACGTATATAGGGATATATAGAGTCTGTGGTTATATGTTTATAATAACTATATATGTATGTATGTGTATGTTGGGGGGGTTTTTATCGTTATGAGAATCGCACGGCCTTGTACAAAATGTTTGAAATTAAAATTAAGTGTGGCTTGGCCCGACTTGGCCAGCCAGCGCTTTTCATTATAAAAATTTTCCTTATAAAAAAATAATAAAAACTAAACTAGACTTAGATGAGGAGCCGCTGGGGTGCTCTCGAAACGCTTGCCAAAATATCAACTCTAGGTTTAGGATTAGGATTAGGGCCAATCACACCAGGCAACAGAAATGACAGAAAACCAAAGGTAGAATGTCTTCTTCGTATATCAATTTCAATCGAATGCTCTTTAAATAGAGTTCAAACTGAACAGAAAGAACACCGTAAACAAATGATAAAATACTTTTTACACAGTTCGGAAATAGTTGGAGATAGTGAAAGGAACTAACATTAATAGGCCTCGAAACATTTGGCTATTAAATGGCTTTCAAGTCGGTAGTTATCGATCGAGTAAATATCCCCACAAGAGACAGCAGTTGGAGATACATCCTGTTGCCTAGTGCGGTGTCATTGAGCGACTACGCTGCTTGAGTATTTTCGCTTACGCTACGCCAATACATATCTGTTTATAATGCGCATACATATGACGCGATTGGAGAGGGTGTAGGAGTCTAATTAATTATGTTTTGCAGTGCCAGCTCCAACTGCCGCTGCTGTTGCTGCTGCCACACTCGTCGAAGATGGAACGGGCGGGGCTGCAGTTGCTGGCACCGCAGCCGTGACCGATGCTATGGCACTGCCGCTTGTTATCGAGCCCAGACGGGAGAGAGAGGGTTCCCGCTTGGGCGGTACAATTGGCTTGGTCGGTATGGGTGGCGGTGCACCGCGAGCGCCCGCTGGTGGCACCGTCACTGGGGGCACGGCAATGGGAACAGGATGTGGATGCGGTGGTGTGGCCGTCTGGTCAAGAGCAGCCGCTGCAGCCAGTGCAGCATACTTGCCACCCGGGGCCCGTTGAATGGTGGCCGTAGGCTGCATTTTCGCCGGCGAGGGTGATGGTGGCGCCGCCGCAGGAGCGCTCACACCAGCAACACTCGCTCCTGCATCCACCGATGATGTGACTCCAGCTGCAGTGCTAGGCGCTCCACTGCTGCTACTGGTGGTTGTCGTGTGGTTGATGACTGTTGGTGCTGTGGCCGTTCCCGTGGGAGCCGTGGCTATCCCAGCGCTACGTATGTTCTGTCCTGGCGCTATGGATCGGGCTATTCCGGTTTGGGGGCCCGACACCGGCATGCTGCTTACTGTGGCGGTTGGCTGCACAATTTTGGCGATGTTTGCCATTGGTGGTGTGGCACAAGCGTCGTCTGCAACATGTATGTACATATGTTTATGGGGCTGTATTAATATCTTGTTGTGATTAATCTCAAAGAAATTCCTCGGATTCCCGAGGTGTGAGTGCCCTTGCAGAAGGAACGAGAGGAGTACCAAAATTTGTAAAAGAATTAAACTTGGGGGAAAGCATTTGCCAATAACGCCCTCTGCAAGGGTAAGGCTGTGTGTTGTAAATGTTTTGGCGTGGACGTGGGTGGAGCTCTTTAAATGCCCAAAGGCTATTTCTGGCTTGTTCAGTGCGAGATCCAATGACATGAAGGTGCGTGGCGTGGCGTGGGCTGTGTGGCAATGGGTGTTTACTTGCTGGTGCAACAGTGGAGTGCACAATAGTGGAGAAACATCACAAAACTAAACAAAAAATCACCTTGCAATTGCGTAACATTTTTTAACAAAATATTTCAGCTTCAGAAAGGAATTCGAAAAAAAATTAATATATGTAGAGTAGTTATAGTTCATATAGAAAACGATAAAGAGGGAAATCATAATTACAACAGCCAAATTCGAGTTGGCAGGCACACTCCCACCTCCTTCATTCTCTGTCCCACTCACCGCTGAACTGACGCGCCTTGGTGGCAGCCACCGTTGAGCTGCTGCCTGCCAATTGCTGCTGCTGCTGCTTCTTCAACGCCTCGTGCTCGGCGCGCAGCGTGGTGAGCTCCTGTTCCAGCTCTTTGACTCTATTGGGATGGAGAGCAGGCTTTAGTTTAGTGGCTCGTTACAACAAAAGAAAATGCTATGCACAAACCGAAGCTCCTCTTTGGCCAGCTTGGCCATTATCGCTTTGCGTTCGATCTCCATTGACTGCGCTTGCTTTTCCATCTCCTCTTCCATGCGAAGCGACTTTTTGCTTTCCTCCTCGAGCCCCTCAGCGATGGTATCCGAACGCTGCTTCTCCTCGGCCAAGATTTGTGCCAAATCCTCAGAACGCTTGCCTGAAATTGTTTTTGATTTGTGATGAATGAGTATTTATTGCTTAGGCGCGACTCCACTCACCCTCCTCAATGTACTTCATCAAAATCTTCTTTCGCTCGGCTATCAGAAGGAGGACAATCTGCTTCTGTCGATTGCGCTCGTACTCGAGGGTCTCTTGAAGCCTCTGCAGTTCCTTCTCCATTCTGGCCACCTGGGCCCGCTCGGTTTCGAGATCCTGCTTTAGCTTGGAGCGCTCCACCTCCAGGCCATAGGTGATATCATCACCCTGGGCCGTGTCATGCTCGTGCTTGCGCTTCTCCTCTTCCAGCTCCTGCAGCATGCGCTGATTGTTCTCCAGGGATTCGGTGAGTATGTTGACCATGCGAACATGCGTGGCCCTCTGCTTACTGACCATTTGGTACTGCTGCTCCATTTGCTGTTCGATTATCTGCCGCACCTCCATCTCTGCCTGCGCCGCCTGCGTGGAGGATTCCCGCGAAATGAGATTCCCATTCATGGCGATCTTATCGCGGAATATAGCCGCATATGGATCATTGGGCTGCACCCGCTTCGTGCGCAACTGTGTGATTAGTTGCTTCACGCGCTCGTTGCGCAAGGCGGCAATGCAGACATCTCGAGCCTGCAGCTCTCCTTCCAGATAGTAGAGCATCTTCACCAGCTCGCTGTGCGGCAGCTCGGTGCGTGTGCGCCCATTGCTGCTGGAGCTCGGCGGCTGCTTCTGCACTCCTCCCGGGCCCGGTTTCATGGTCTGAAATTCGTGTGTGGCGCACACTGTGTCGCTGCCAGAGGCGGACACGGAACAGTTGTCCATCCCGAAGTTGGAGTCCGAGACGGCATCTGCGTCGGCCTTTGCATTGCCCAAAAATCGGGCTGTGCCCCCACTGCTCTCCTCCACGAATGTCTCCGAGCTGATGCTGTTGGAGTTTTGCTCCATTTTCCCCCCCACTTTCTTTACAGCATAAAATTGCTAGCGAGACTTTTGCTTGAGACGCAGTTCGTTTTGGGGCGGCCTGCCAAATACCAATTGCACTGCAAGCACAGGCCAAGACTCTAATTCACTTTTTTGCCGTTTAGCTCACTCGAAGGGGCATATTAGCTGCAATTGCCACTAATTCAATAAATTCTAATCCACTGAAAAATCCACTGTCAAACCATCGAGGGCACTATCGATAGTATCGATATTTTACTGATGGCCTCTACTATCGACGGTTTTAAGACTATCATGATAGTATCGAGCTACAGTCGTTGCGCTTTTGATATGTTTGGATTGGCTGCTATAAAATACGAAGACAAATTTGTAAAAAAAATCGACAGGTGGCATATAATTTTTACAATGGACAAGTTCCTAAAAGGTTTCAATGGTTTTTTAATAATTATTTCAGCCCGATACTATCACGATAGTATCGATTTTTTTTTCAAAACATTTGACGTTGATATTCCTCGATATTGATATTCCGTTTAATATTACCAGCTAGCTGGGACTCTCAGAACTAAAAAAATAATTTTATCCGAGCACTAATAAATTTTAGCTCGACCTGCTTTGTTGTGCCATACCGTAAATTTTGAACTACAAGATTGTTTTTTGAAAGTTGTTCAGAAGTCCTTTTTATTGGATTATTTACATATTAAGGTTCAAACAAAAGCGGCCAAAGCATAAAACGAAACGTTGACGCAATTTGTGGCGCTGCCAGACTCGTGCAAGTTCGTTGTTGCTGCGGGCTGCCATACGCCTTGCTGATATTTTGTGATATGACAATTACGTCAATTTTGCATATTCATGTTTGAGTATTACTAGATAGTTGGCCCGTCCTATTATCGGTAGACGAAATAATTTTGTTAAAATCTTTAGAAGAGACTGAGTGTTTCTTTTTTTTAGGGGAATAAAAAAATCATAAATTTTAGTTCAGGCCGCAAAGTGGTTAGTTTTTACATTTCCCAGTTGCTGAATTTTTCCCATACAAATGGATTGTATACGGATCGCATATTAAGGTCTCAAGTTCCAAAATCCACCCTTGAATTAGAAGTTTCAAATTTTGGAAAGAAACTATTTTCATCTAACCTTGGAGCTCAGTTTTGCAAACTTTTACCCAACACTACAAGCGAGAGATTGAGAGCGAAACGGAATGTCAGTATATTTTTTGTGCGCTCTCACGAATTGAGAGAAAATTTGGGAAAACTATTGAGAGTAGTTTCCCAATGGCGCTAAATTGAGTTTGGCGGTCAATTTGAAATTGTTTTTTATTTTTGGGAAATAACTTGATTTGTTTTGCGAGTGACCTCAGAAACCGAGAACCAGTAACCAGTAAATAACAAAAAAAAAAAACTTAATTAATAATACGGACACTACCAGATGCGTTGATATTCCCCGATTTTGATATTCGTTTTAATATTACTAGCTAGTTAGCCATCTTAGAAATAAACAAATAGTTTCATGCAATTGATCAATAAATTTTGTACAAGATTGGCTAGTTTTCGAACTCCTTTTTATTGGATTTTTTACATATTAAGGATCAAACAAAAACGGCCAAAGCATAAAACGTCGATGGTAAAACCATCGCCATATAACCATCGACCATCGGTGGTTTTTCAGCCCTGAAACTTAGAAGCGCGTAAATTTAATTTTCTGGTCAACAGTTTTATTTTTTAAATACAAATGGCTTTGTAGTATTGTAGGCCAACGAGTTTCTAATATGCTTGCCCACTAGCCGATCAGCAAGGGGTATTAAAGCTGGTGTACGTACATATATGCCCACTGCGTGCGGCGTCCACACCCGAAGACTGCACTCGGAGTTGTCGGGCAAGAGTAGGCCCAGCCATCCTGCAGAGCTTAGTGTAATATCACAATTTAGCCTGCCCTCATTTCTGACGCTGTTGTTGTTGCTGTTGCTGTTGCTAACAACAATATCTTGATCTTTGCAATGAAGGCCTGGCCAGCGTTTCAATCGAGCCTCAACGTCCCCACCAGTCGAGGGAATACCAAGGAAGGGAGTGCCCAGATAGCGCTTATATACTGCTTCTACTTGCAGGGTGTCAGCTATCATCACAGGAAGGTTCTGTGAGGCGAAAACAAACACCTTAAGCCAATCATAATGCTTTTCATAGCCGGAGAGATCCAAGATATCCATGCGAGCCAAGCCTCCCAGCAGCAGACTCATCTTGGGTCGCAGGCGAAAGGCTCTGGGGCGAATCATTGTCGTTGGCTGCAGCTGTGAGAGCTCCTCAGCGGTCAGTAGAGGAGTCAGTTGATCGGGCTGCATCACTCCTGGTGTGTCGTAGACCCAGCGAGCCTCCCGATACTCTGCACGACGTTCGTTCAAGGTGGTTATGGGCTGCGTGCCAGCTGACATCGAGAAGGAGTCACTGACCACCTCGCGACGATCGAAGCTGCGTCCCACTTGAGAAAATGGCTGAGCCGCTGCAACAGCTCCGGTTTTTTGGGCTTGTTCCCGCCGCAGTTTATCCATGGCGGCCCTTTCGTCACGTTCCGAGAATAGACGCTTGAAGCGCTGATAAACTCGGCTTTCAGATGGTCTGAAGATGGGGAATCTCAACATTTGTAGGGTTGTTCCTGGCCAGGGGCAGGTCGTCGCCTTGCGTACAAGCTCACTGGCTTCTGGGCGGCAGTAGTCCGAGTTAAGCAAGATATTAAACAGCGTACTCTTGCCCACATTCGTGCATCCCAGCAGATACACATCTCCTTGATACGCCCAGGTCTTGTGCAGCTGTGTGATCAGTTCCTCAATGCCATAGCCAGTCTTGGCCGATATTAGACTGACATTTTTTATGTTGAGCCCGTCCCCGCCACCGTGCCGGACGAAATCACGCTGCAGGCACTGCTTCACGTGATTCAGATAGTTGTTGGAGTCGCGTGGCAGGAGATCAACCTTGTTGCCGACCAGGAAGATCGGGCGCTTAGCCCCCAGAACATGCTGCATGCCGGGCCAAATGGAGCTGGGAAAGTCCAGAAGGTCCACCAGTACGATCGCCAAAGCAAACTGGTCTTGTATGCGCGAGATCGTATCCACATAGGAGGACGCTGGTACATCGACATCCAAGGCAATGTTGTAATGATTCAGGAAATGGCATCTTTGGCAGGTGATGGTTCTTAGCTCCTGCTGCGACCGCCCGTTGAATATCTCGCTGGGTATGTAGCCGGGCATGGAGATATTGGAGCAATGCAAGTGTGCTCCACATCCGCTGCATGGCACTCTTGAGGGCGGGATTGAAGCGTCCGGGGTGCCGTGTTTGGAGTCTGTGCTCTTGGCTCCCTCGTAGAACTCGTAGTCGTCCATCCAGTCGTGCGGAAACTGTGAACTAATTGCAGCAGGTGGGTAAGACTTCCATTGGGTCGTCTCCAAAACTGAGCTGTAATAAACGTGCTCGTGATTCTTGTAACGTTCTCTGGCCGTTAGCCACGCCTTTTCGCGTGAGCTCTGTGTCACATTGGTAGCCGAATTGTGCAGTCGCGTCCATCTTAAAGGTACAATATTATTAATAATCTTAAATAATTGCGAGTTCTTTAACATTTTTGTTTTGACGTTTCAGTGCTGGAAAGGAAAGCAAGTGAACTGACGCAAATGGCTCTGTTCGTTTTTTTCGAAACGGTATGAATCGGTATTTTGTTTAAACCTTATTTTTTACATTATCCAATAAAGAGAGTCCTACAGTTGGCCAATCTTGTAGGAAATTGATTTGTCTAGCGTATAAAATTATGTGGTCAGTGCTGAGAGACCTGGCTAGCTAGTAATATTAAAACGAATATCAAAATCGGGGAATATCAGCGCATCTGGTCGTGTCCGTGAGTATATTTACGGTATATTTTGAAAACGACAAGGTATATTTCAGTATATTTCTGAGGGTCGGGCGGTATATTTTATCGATAGGGCGATTTTAGCGAAAGCAGAGAAGAAAAAAGAAAGCAGCGAAAGCAGAAGCGGGGCTAAAAAAGCGTGTATGTATTAAAATTGAAACAAAAAGATATGGAAAAGGCATGGCTACAACGCAATTAAAGTGTGTTTGCAATCAATATTATTCATTGGCGCATTGGTAAAAGTACAGAGTGCACGGAAAATACAAAGCAGCAGCACATAAAAGTGATTAGGAAAGTGTGTGGTGTGGAAAAAAGACATAAGTGTACGTGAGCAGTGATGGCAGTATGTGTGAGTAGTAGTGACTGTATGCGTGCTGTGCTGCTGCTGCTGATGCGTGTATATGAAACAAAGTAACGCGAAGCTCGACCTAATTTTAAACATATTACAATAATATTTGTAATGCAAGTACGAAATATAAAATGCAGGAATATGTGTAGTACACCAAACCAAACAAGAACCTTGAATATTCGTGTTGTGCTTATGGCATGCCACGAAGAGTTGCCGCCGCCATTGCCTATGTCTAGCCAAGACTCGCACATTTTTCGTGTTAGTTCTTTTCCACCTTTTGTTGCACACGGGTTGAGTAATAATTCAACAACAACAACAAGAGCACCAGCTTCGTCGGCGGCAGCAGCAGCTCAAATTTTGTGAGTGTTGCAACTTTCGTTCGAACTCGTTTCGAACTGTTGTTGTCGCCAACTCACTTACTCAGAGAGAAAGACTCGTTCCTTTCGTATTCTGTTGTTGTCTGAGGCGATTAACCAAAACTGGTATTTACCTTTACACATCATCCATACACTCGGATGCAGTTGCTTTGGAAGCCATTTCTTAATGGGGGAAAAATCAATAATTCAAAATTAGACAAATTTCAACATCTACTCCTATTGCCTCTTGCGGCGCGGCGCAACAGCCAACTAGAAGAAGCTACAGATAACCCCCAAAGCACAAGTGCAAGCGAGATAGTTGCTCACACATACACACATAAATGCAGTTGAAATTTCCAGCAAATGTCTGCTCTTCGTCGGCGAGGTTTTTGTATCGCTCTTGTTGTTGTAATGTAATTGCGAAATCATAACGGCAGTTGAAAGTTGAGAGCGCTTAGCTAAGTATTTGTGTGTGTGTGCTGTGTCTGTGTGTGAAACAGAGAGAGAGAGATTGCTTGCTGTTGTAAACTTTAAGCTCTGATGAAGTTTGTACGCTCTACTCTTTGCCTTGGCTCTGCAGCACCCTTATGGCCCGGCCGCCTACACATATCAGCCGGCTGGCTGGAGCGTCGCAAGTGTAGGGCATGTGTGTGTCTTGTCAAGCTGGTCCCACAAGAAACAAAACACATGTTGTCTGCTCTGCACAGTGGGATGGGGTTTATATCGAACGATTCAATGTGTAGGAAAAGTATTTTGGTATTTGTAGTGTAAATGCGAATGAATTTCCTAGTTTTCGGCGCCATTTTGAAGAGATGGCTTTCGGTGAACGTCTAAATACATACAGTGCATACACATTGCGATACTGTGCGAGCGTGAGTGAGTCGCAAATTCAAATAAGCAAGCAAAATAACTAAAAATGCAGAAGTTGCCTTGAAAAGTGAAAGGCATTCAACTCGCCGAGTCTCTGATATTTTCGCTTAACCTTTACTTGCTGCCGTTTTTTCATGTTAACGCTGCTGGCACAGCAACTCTGCCTGCACATTTGACATTTTCCAACACATGCAGCATATTCCGAATTGCTATTTCCACAAGCCGTTGCACATGCGCTCGAATCTTTTATTTTGGTTGCTGGATAGAATGTTTTTGAAGTCGTATTCACCGTCGTCAGCGCTGTTGCGCTCCGCGCTGAGCGACTCTGCTCTTTCGCAATTCCGCAAACTTGCTCTATTCGCAATCTCTCGGGCCATTTGCCTAGTTTGTTGTGAGCACTTTTATTTGTCGTATTGTTACCAGTTTCAGCGTTAATACGTTTTTTTGTCTCTTTCAGAATAGCAGGACGATATAACCACAAACTAGAGGATTCTATTTACCCAGTCCTAAAGCCGACCTTGACCGATTAATAGCCATCTTACGGGGAACATTTTGGCCTCTCCTCCAAATTAAACTCCTGCGTACATTGGAGCTGTGATCGCGCGTCCCGCAAAACCCCACCAACTTAAGCTTATTCATGATGTCGTCGGATCAACAGTTCTTTCTAAAATGGAACGATTTTCAGACGAATATGGTGACCTCGTTCCGTCACTTGCGTGATGAGAAGAGCTTCACAGATGTAAGTACCAACACCGTCAATGTGGAAACCCTTTCCAAACGAATTTAATTGTCTAGGGGGTCCCAAGAGGCTCAGCTATTGTCTGAGGGTCAGGTACCAGCTCACTTTGTCTGTCTACCTGTCTCTCCGACTCTTGTCTCTTCTTTTTCCATTACCTGTCTCTTTGTGTTCATTAATTTTTGAATTTTTGTGATTTAATTTTTTCATATTTAGCAAATGACTTATTGAGTTTTCTTTTGCATTTCCTCACAGGTAACACTCGCTTGCGAAGGCCAGACCTGCAAAGCACACAAAATGGTGCTTTCCGCTTGCAGTCCCTACTTTAAGGCGCTTTTAGAGGTACGTTTCGCATGATCCCCTTGTCCGAATTATAAAAAACTAATGCAAGGATATTTTAATCAACAGGAGAACCCTTCAAAGCATCCGATTATTATACTTAAAGATGTCTCCTACATACACCTACAGGCTATACTGGAGTTCATGTATGCCGGAGAGGTGAATGTTTCCCAAGAGCAGCTGCCAGCATTTCTTAAGACGGCCGATCGCCTCAAAGTGAAAGGCCTGGCAGAGACACCCAGTTCAATAAAGCGGGAGGGTTGATGGTATTAAACAATTAAAAAACAAAACAAAAAATAACAAAAAGAAAACTCTAAGAAACCTATATATATATACACATGCAAGAAAACAAAATTCCAACAAGAGAAGAAAGAAAAAACATTACGAAAACGACATTTGGTATACAAAAATCATTTAAATCTACAAAATAAACAACAAAAGAAACCCACACAAAGCTGACAGATACAAACGCTTAGTCTGTAAAGTAATATCGGTAGTAACCAGACCAGAAGACTATGGTTCCACCTGCCCAACCCCACTTATCCATACCGGATTTACCTAACAATTTGCAAAGCTCTATCGATGGCCCATTTGAACTGTGTGTTTGTTTAATTTCTGCATAAAATAGTTTGTAAAATATTATATTAAAAGAACAACCAGAAAACAAAACAAAAAAACCCCCCACTCTGTATAAATGGAAAGATATGGACAACCCCTAACAAAGCAAAACAAAACAAAAAACGCACTTTTGTAAAGTAATTAAACAGAAGAATTCATTCATTGAAACTATATAAAGATAATTATAAATATAGTGAGAAATGTGCAAGTAGAATGATAGAATGCCGCAAAGGGCGCGAATATTACAACACATTCGGTTAGTTTTTAAGCCACTAACTACAACCCAACTCCCTCAGATAATGCCACGCCCCTAGACACAAAACTCACCCACGCACACACACACACAGATACAACCAACCACTGCAACCCCATAAAAAAAAGCATCCTTCATCTATACTTAATGAATAAAAACAAACAAATGCAAAATTGTACTTTAATTTTTTGTGTGGACTCTTACGATATGATATATTCTCAAAATTCACTTTTGAAATACACAAGACACTTACATATATATTTTAAATAAAAACCGAAGGAAAAACTAGGAAGATTCAACTAAGTTTAAACAAGAAAGGAAAGGAACGATAAGAAGAATGAACTATACTTGAATATTATTACATAAAGTAAAATATTTATATGTACGAGTATGTATATGTATACATGTGAGCATAGATTTAAATAACTACGGTAAATAAACAGAATAATTCCAAAAAAACAAAAAACAAAACTACAAATACTTGTGCTTACCCTCGATGATTTATTCCAGTCAATTCTTATTCTTGGACGCAAAAGATCTGGAGTGTTCTGGTGTACCAATTGAAACGAGTACATCCTACATTTGATAAAAATTTCTTTGCTTTTATTTGATTTGATTTTTCATAACATAATTTGTCATTTTCATTAGCGCCGTCTGTATGTATCATATTTCGTTCACAAATTAACAAAAATATGCTCCCTTATAATAAATTACACTATTATTTGATATATATTGCTGGATTCAGATCAGATCAGCTCGCAGAACAATGCATTACCAATTATAATGCACTGATTGCGGGAGTTCCTTTTTTTTTTTTAGTTAGTTATTGAAACAATACGCATTACGTGTATTCAGTTCAAATGGATCGGTTCGCATCTTTTGCTGATTATCCTCCACCGTGCGCGTTACATCTTCAATGAGATTCGGCCGCTCAGCGGAGCTAGGGGCACACGGTGACCAGATCTTGACGTCGTGATCAATGCCGCTGGTGGCCAGCATGCAGATACTGGGATGCGGCTGCACGCAGTTCACAATCGCACTGTCGGCACGATAGGCGGCTCGAATTTTTCCCGTTTCTCCCTCCCAAATGTAGAAATTGCCATCATCTGAGCCGGCGGCAATGAATTCGCCATGGATGCCCAGATAAGTGGCCTCCTTAATGTCCGTGGTGATATTGCAATGACCGACATAGCGATGTTTGTAATCCTTGGCAGCGGATCGCAGATTGTACTCCTCGTCGGTCAGGCGTAGATAGCGTGAGCCATCGTTCACTAGTACTGGCTCTGGGTTTGGGGCATCAGTGTGCTCCGATTGTCTTCGATTTTCCTTGATGTCCTTGTGCAGCATAAGGACACCATGGTTGTTGGCAAAACTGGGGAATCGCTGGATGAGCGCCTGAAGACACTTATCCGCATCCTGGGGACGACGAAGCTCCAGCAGGGCACGCGCCAGCCGAAAATGTGCCTTAACATAGGTGGGATCTAGGCGAAGAGCCTCATGACAATCCCGTAGAGCTGCATAAATGTCACCAAACCATCCACGTCGCATCAGTGCCGTAGCCCTGTTCAGATACAGAACTTCGCCCCGCGGATACTTGGCTAATGCAGCGGAATAGGCCTCAATAGCAGCCACTAGCTTTCCATTTTCCAGATGTTCATTGCCTTGTTTCTTAAGCACCTCAATGCTGGCAGGTAAGGAGCGGCTTTTGTGACGAGTTTTGAACTCCTCGTCGTCGTGTGTGGCATGGGCAGAGTAGGCAGGCAGCTCGTAGAAAACCGGAGGCTCTGCGTTATTTAGATCATAGCGATAGATGTGTTCACAGCCCATATTGACCAGCAATTCCGTGCCATTTGCATTGAAAGAGATATATGTAATGGCCCTTGACTCGTGGACAATGTTCCTACTAATATCCTTCACAATCTGTCCAGGAGCATAGTACGAAACGCACCCAACTGATTCTGGAATGACAAGTATTGATTAGACAGAGTATAGAAGGGGCAATGCACTGCTCAATTAATACTATACCATTGGCCCCACTTGTAGGCAACTTGCGTCGATCATAGATGCGGGCAAAGGGATCGTTGGTTCCCACAGCCAAATACTCCGTTCGTCTAGGATTTATGGCCAAGCATTTTGCCTCTGTGGTCGCCTCAACCTGATTGCTGAGGCTAAGTAGTCGCACGCCATTGCCCTCCTCGGGACGGCAGCGGTGCGGCTCCCGCATGTCCAGTTGTAGGATGCAACCGTCCTCGCCCGCCGACCAAAAGATGTGGGGCGAGTCCTGGGCTGTTGCCAGTCGCTTGGCTCTCATCGTATGACAGTTGCAGGAAAACAGCGTCTCGTTTGAGTGATTGATGTCGTAGACGTATATGAATTTATCTGCCGCACACGTAGCCAAAATGCTGTTGTTGTGCTTGGGTAGAAACTTCACTGAGAACATGTTCCCCAGATGCTTAGTATTTATCACATGAACGCGCCGCTTGCGGAATGGATCCCAGATCATAACTCTGAAATCATCTGAGCCCGATGCCAGCAACAGACCGTCACTGCTCCACTCCAAGCAATTGACGCAGCCATCGTGACCAGCCAGAGCCACCTCCTGTTCCAGACGATCTATGTAGGCTGGCGAGGCTTGGAGCCGACGCCGCACCAGCTCATCCAAGGATGAATCGTATCCGTATTGTTGGCGATGCCATTGCAAGGAGCTGGCATTGCAATGGCTGGCATTCAACGTCTCCTCGACGCGCTGATAACGCGAGCTGGAGTACTTGATGCGATACAGTTCATCGCTCGACATTATCTGGATGTCTATGGGATTATGACACTTGTATTTGTTTGTTTTCGAATTGTTTTCTTTTTAATACTACTTGCATTTCACTGACCCCTGCTTCTCCCTTTGGCCCCCTCGTCAACTGTTGACAACGTCCGTGGCGTTACCAGATAGTTGCGCAAAAGTGAGCCTACTTTGATAATTTTTCATAAATGGTTAAACGCGCCTTTATATTTACATCCTATATAAATATCTGATACAAAAAAGTTGTAGCCATAACATGGAATAAACATTAACTTTTTTGGTGAGAGTGTGAGGGAGGGAAATATGGGTTGGGTTCTAATTTGTCTTTAAAATCGGTCGAATTATACTTTGAACTGATAGCTAGCGCTGTGAGTCGTTTACCAGCACTAATTTATCGTTGTAGTTGAATAATTCGAATAATTCCATGATTCGATAAGCCAATCGATAAGAACGAATGTTTCATTTACACATATCTAAACTAAAAAATTGATTTGACGAACGCGAAAAAGGGAGAAGTGAAAAATGTCCAAAGAAAAAGAGGACGGCGAAAAAAAGGAAATGGGGGAGGCAGATGGAAAATCTTCAAACAGCGATGAGTCAGATGAGTATCAATCAGCCGGCGAGGGTGACGATTCCGATCCACTTCCTCCGGAGCCCCAAACCAACACACACCTGTGCGAAGACCCCACACCCGAGCACACACCTACAGCAACAACGGAGCCCCTAGATGAATACACAGTGTATCCCATGCATCAAAGCGTTTTTGAGGATGACATCAAGACGTTGCAGCGCCGACTCCTCCTGCGCACCGCTCCGGATGAGATTGGCAGCAAAGACAAGCACGGTAATACGCCACTGCATTTAGCCGTTATGCTGGGCAGGAAGCATGCCGTGCGTCTGCTCCTGGCCAACAATGCCCCCGTCAGGGTAAAGAACAACGAGGGCTGGTCTCCTCTGTCGGAGGCCATCAGCTACGGGGACCGCCAGACAATCACACAATTGCTGCGCATGCTAAAGCTACAGTCCAGGGAGCATATGGAGAAGCGCCGGGAGAAACTGGTGAAGGCCCTCAGTCAGATGCAGGACTTCTACATGGAATTCAAGTGGGATTTCCAGTCCTGGCTACCGTTGGTGTCCCGCATCCTGCCCTCCGACATTTGCAGGCTATACAAGTCCGGGGCCTCCATTCGATTGGACACCACCCTGGTTGATTTCAATGACATGAAGTGGGAGAGAGGTGACATTTCGTTTCTCTTTCGTGGCGAAGCTCCGCCCAGGGAGGCCCTGGTCCTGCTGGACAACGAACAGGCGTGCTATCAGCGTTTGCGCCACGAGGAGGCCGACATGGAGGACGAAGTGGATGGGCTCATGTCAACCGACATAATGGCCACCCAAATGTCCACCAAAACGATCAACTTTGCCCGGGCGCAAAGCGGCTGGATTTTTCGCGCAAATCGCAAGGAACTCATTGGCGGTCAGTATCAATGTGAGCTCTATACCATACAGGGCCTGATCATAAAGCAGCGCAAGCGACGCGAGCATCTCTCACACGAGGATCTGCAGAAGAATCGCGCCATTATCGAGTCAATGAGGGGCTCAGTGGTGCAACCCGATAGGCGTCGCTCTAGCCTGACCAGCCAGACCACGACCTCGACCACTGACGGCGGTACCCCGGCAGCAACGAATGGCAATACCCAGACAGAGCTGCCACGCCGCAGCTCTTTACAAGCTCCTCCAGCCCCCGGGGTGACCTGGGATCAGTACTTGGAGGCTGCAGAAGGGCGGTGCCCGCGTTTGGGACGTCCACTCGTCAACAAGCAGTCCAGCAAGAGCCTGCGTGCCACGGTCGCTATGAGCACGGACTTTCCACTCAGCGTTGATATGCTCTTGGACGTCCTCGAGGTGGTGGCCCCCCTGAAGCACATCAACAAGCTGCGAAATTTCGTAACGCTCAAGTTGCCCACTGGATTCCCGGTCAAGATTGAGATTCCCGTGCTGCACACTGTGACGGCAAAGGTAACGTTCCAGAAGTTCGAGTTCACCAACAGCATCCCCGATAAAATGTTTGAGATACCGTCAAACTACTGGGAGGATGTGCGTCGCTTTCAGGACTTATGACCAAGCGACGCCGACGCAGACGCTGAAGCTGAAGCCGGATCCCAAACATTTTCGACGGGTACGCAGCATGGATCCCAAACTGGCCTCTACGTGGACCTGAACTCTTAGAGCAATGCGCGCAGACGTGTCTGCAGCAGAGCTACACCGAACGTATGCGTATACCCCGCTCCCCTCCCTATCCTTGCCACTCCCTCGCATAGATCGTGTTGTATATTTCGCTGACAAAATCCCAAATTGCTCTCGAGCCGTTTTGCATTTGTATGTTTTCGTAGTTTTAAGAGAATTTATTGGCAGAATTTAAACAATGCAAGGCCTGTCTCTGGTCTGGTCTGCACCAAATTCATTCGTTACGCTGAAGTTAAGGATACTTTCCATTAAGGGTCGCTTACTAAATTAAATGACTAAGTGATTGCCCTGAAAATTTCAATTTTTCGCCCACAATTTGTTATGTACTTCCATGTATAATTTGTTTGTCGATAATTCTGCCTGTTTTAGAAAGGGCACAAACCTGTGTATTACGTATTATTTAGTATCCAAGTATTTATCGTAAGATACATCTGTACTGCACTTGGAACATTCTGCATTGAATCGCACCTGTTTCATGGGCCCCTAGACCTAGACCAATTGCATTAGTTGGAATGAATCATTTTCGTAATTGTTCAAGGTAGCAAAAGGAGCCCCAAGGCTGGGGTCTTGTATCCGAAAACAGCTGCTAGTTTGTGAAAACCATATATTTCTGTCCAGTCCTGTCCTATAAATTGCCTTTCTTATCGTACACTAATCGCCGCATAGTATAAAAAATTAATCTATCACTTTTTCGAAAGAATGAGATAGAAAACGAAGGCAGCAAATCATTCAAAGTCCATCATAATCAAAATGTAGTTAGTTCAATTGACCAGGCGTCGATCATAAGCAGAGTGTTCCACATCAATTGCATTATTTTATTTATCATTGCATTCTGTTTCATTTTTAGTTACATTTTAAATGTATATTTTTAAGGTTCTTAAAGTGAGGCGTATATCAATGTCCTGCATCCCACACCCTATCCAAAAAGAGTCTGCATCAACGAGAACGCATAGTAAAATATATTGGGTTTTTTTTTTAAATATGCTACAAGATGTACAAGAAAAACGTCCGTCAACATTTTACCAAACAATATGAATAATCGCCCAGAGTATTTAAAAAGTGCGCAAAAGTAAAGCAGCTTCACAAATCAAATAAAACTAAATATATACAAACAGATCCATATACAATGTGTGCATGCATGTAGTTCCATATTAGCCAATTATTTTAAACTGTAAAAATAGTGTTTGTACTCGTGTTTCAGCAAGGGCAGACAGGCCGCAAAAAATCGTTTATTTGTGTAATACTGCCATTGTTTCTCTTTTGGGCACAATATTCTGTTTTGTTTTTTTATACTTTTCCACCAGACCGGGAATATAATAAAAAAAAATCAAACGAGAACCGAAAACGTTAAGTAAAACATTTGATAAACTGTAATCCCAAACACACAACAAAAGCTAAAAAGAATCTGTTGAGCCAACGGATATAACAAAAATTGTATGTGTATTTTATTAGTGGAGGAAAGATAAAGATATATTTATACATGTCAACGACACTACCCTAATTCTTGAATATATATGTATACACCAACAAATTTAAAAGCTGTAAATGTGCAACAAAATTACAATTGTTTTATTTATGATGGGAAATTCGAATTTAAAATGCGCGCCATAGATAGTGCTGTGCAACGAGGTTTACATTTTTAGGTGCTGGGCATTTTCCAGCACTACTCATCGCTGGACCAGCTGTTTTTTAAATTTTTTTTTTTTTTTTGGGGGGTTTTTTTTTTTTTTTTTTAGAATAGAGTGTTTTTGTGGAGATTTCCCCTCATTTTCGTGGTGTGGCAGCATGCTGCTGAAATTTTTCCCATACAAAATCAAATGTATCTTACGGGAACGCGTATGGAATGAAGATTCATTGTTGCGTCATTCCTACGTGTTCCCGTAAGATGCAATTGATTTGTATGGGAAAAATTTCAGCAACATGGGGAAATGAAGTAGCAGCATTGTTGTGCAAATTTGGCACGAAATGAGCAACAATTTGCATACCTTGGGAAAATAGATATTATGGACTTGAGATATTGTTTGTAATTACAGGCTCCAATTAATGCCGAAACAAGTCAGTCTCTTTTTTAAAGACATAAACGAAATTTTGTAGCTCACGGGTACAAATAATAGGTATCAGAACCGGGATAAATGTACATATGTATATATGTATATAAAACAAAACATATGCATTAATAGGTAAAAAACATGTCAATCTAGTATAAAATCATAAATAATGTTTCAATGGAGCTTGGAACAACAAAATTAGCATCAATTAAAAGAAATAAGGTATACAAAAGTACATACGCATAAAAGAAACTTGGTTGACCAGCAACACTGACGTCACATTTAGTCAACATTTACGTTTTATGCTTTGGCCGCTTTTGTTTGAACCTTAATATGTAAACAATCCAATGAAAAATAGTTCTGAAAGCTAGCCAATCCTAAACAAAATTTATTGAGGAATTGGATAAAATAATTTTTTTAGGGCTGAGAGTCCCAGCTAGCTAGTAATATTAAACGGAATATCAAAATCGAGGAATATCAACGTTGAATGAATTGAAAAACAATCGATACTATCGTGATAGCTATAATAAATATTAAAAAACCATTGAAACCTTTTAGGAACTTGTCCATTGTAAAAATTAGATGCCACCTGTCGATTTCTTTACAAATGTGTCTTCGTATCTTATAGCAGACAATCCAAACATATTAAAAGCGCAACGACTGTAGCTCGATACTATCATGATAGTCTCAAAACCATCGATAGTAGAGGCTAGCAGCAAAATATTGAAACTATCGATAGTGCCCTCGATGGTTTGACACCTCTAGGACCAGCTGTTTGACTCACCATCTGCAAAAAAGAAAAGGAGAATTTTGCTTTTAAAAATCTATACAAGCACACGCCACGCTAAGAACGAAGATGATTGTGTCGCGCTTGGCATTTCCACTCCAGGCTGCATTGCAGCAGGCCCGCAAGGCTGCAGGCAAACCCAGCAACAGCATCATCCAGCGTCGCCACATGTCGATCTATTACCGTAGTGGAGCACTCAAGCCAAAACCCGAGGAGATGCCATTCGGACTGTTCGCCATATTTTGTGCCGTTATACCAGGACTACTAATTGGCGCCACCATAAGCCAGAATGTGGCCAACTTTTTGGAGGAGAACGATCTGTTTGTGCCCTCCGATGATGACGACGATGAGGACTAAATCCAACCAAGCTTTCCCACTGACCAAGTGGGAGTCTGCCCTAGTCGGGATGAGTAACCACAACCAATGGTTGTTCATCCTCTTTCGAAAAAACGTGCACTCAGCCAAATGTTTATTCATCTATTAGCTATTTATTCAATGTAAATCTCTACTCTTAAGATCCCAAGTTATGACATTTTATACTCTTGTTTGTATTTACTTACCAAATCCTGCTTTAAAATGTTTCAATGTTATGTTCTATGGATAATACCGATACGCTGACGAATGTTAGATCAATAAATCAAGTTTATTCAACTATCATAATTAAATATTCCCCAAAATAATTGACAATCTCCGTGGGCTAATTAAAACATATGTACATATATACCATACCGCCCACATACATATGCCGTTTCCCCCAATAAGTATTTTACGAAAGAAAGCAATTTTTTTTGCCGAAGTGGAATTTTATTGTAATTAAATTTGGGTGTAAAAAGGTTTTTCTCATTATTGAATTTTGCTCTCTGGCGACTATTACAATGCACTCAAATAATTGTAATTTCTGGGATTGCTTCAAATTTCAACAATTCTATTTTCTGAATTATACAAATTGTGGTTTACATATATCGCTTGAATACATATATATCTGCTATATATATAAGTGGTGTTGTGTGGTTTTCTTTTATTTAGTGAAAAGTAAAAGGTTTCTCTCCAGCAAATCTCTGAAATATTTATCTTCCAGTTCGGGTTTTTGGGTGTTTTTTTTTTAGTTGATTTTCCTTTCTTGTTCTTGGTTTTGTTTGCGTTTTTTAAATATTTTGCATTTATTGCGTATAAATGTTTTTTGTATTTTGCAATTTTTTCAAAGATTTTTTTATTTTTAGTTTGTTTAATAAAAAAATATGAATTTCACATCCCCGACCGACACTTGGAGGCGTGGGTGACCTGACCTATCTGTTTGCTTTTAATATATCGTATGAATGGTGTAAAAACAGTATTTATTTATATTCAATAATCTTTTTTCTCGCTATAACAGAAGTCTGAACGCAATTAAGGACCCTGGCGATCGCCTAGCCCGTGGTGATCGTTCGTTAAATATTTTGCAAATTGTAATAATTGTGTGTGTGGGGCTCCCCTTTTCTCGGATAAACGTAAAATCCGGCTTGCAATTTGCCTCTACTTCTACCTGTTGTAGTCTCTTTCATCCCATCAGTATGCTGCCTCCATACGGGGGTTGCGCTTTAGCGCTTTTCTTGTATTTCTTTGTGTTTTTGTTTTGTTTCCATATATGTTTTGTTTTAATATGTGTGGTGTGGTTTGTGTGTTTGTGTGTGTGTATATATATTTTCTTTTTTTTTATCTTTTACATAGTTTTGCAATTTTTTTGTTGGTTTTTCCACTTGTTTTTTATACGCGTTGTGTTCATTTTTCAACATATTTTCTCTCTGCTCTTGGTATTTGTATTTTTCTATCTTTTTTAAAGTAGCAAAAACTTGACTCTCATATTCTTGCGGCTTGCGTTTTCCCTTTTCTGCGCATCTTTCTTTTCTATTCTTTTGTGTTCTGCTCGCAGTTTTCTTTCACATTTTTTCGTTTTTTATTTTGACATTTTTGCAATTTTTTTGTGTTGTTTTCTTTACTTTTTTAAAAGTGTGTGTGGATCTCTCGCTTCGCTTCTTTCGCTTTTTCTAAACACAAAGCTTTTTTAAAGTTTTGATTTGAGAAATAAAGAAAATAAAATTACATTTCGCTTTCGTGTTGGTGTTGTTGTTCTTTGTTGTTGGTAAGTGTGGAACGAAAAAGTTTACGACAAAAAAAGGTTGAAAAAGCTAGAAACTGGTCGGCATTTGCACGTATCGTGTATCGGATTATCTTTCTAAAATCTAATCTCTTTGCTTTAATTGTGTTTATTTTGCATTTATTTTTTACGCATACAAAATAGAATTGAAACAATTTAAGCAATGCCAAAAAATAAATGTTCAATTCGCATTTGTTTTTTCTTTCGGTTTCCATTGTTTTTCTGTAAAAGTGGAAAAATTGATATATTGAAATCGCTTTGCTGAATTCGTGTGTTTCTTGCTTTTCTTCCTTTTTTCTTCGTGTACTTGCGTAAATGCGTTCGAAATTAAATGATTCTTTTAAGTGGTTTCTGGTATTGAGAAAAAGCGGCTGGAGCTCTTCACGCTCCAACCCCTTAGTTGTTCTGTGCTGTGTGTTAATTTGTTGTCCTTGGAAGCGTACATTTTTTTGCACGAGAATCATTGAATGCGAATTGTTGTTGTTAATGAATTGAAAGTAAAGAGGAAAACTGTAAGAGAATTAAATTAAAATTAGAAACTTCCCCAAGGCTCAAAGGCTTGAAAATACATACTTTTTTGGGTGTCGAGTGTTTTTTGTAAAATTTTCATCCGCTTTTGTGGTTCGAGTTTAGTTAGCGGGCTCGCTAACGCGATGCACCTGGAGCACGGCGACGGCTTCCTCCACCTTGGCCTTAAGGGCCTCCTGATCCTCCAGCATGTGCAATAGCTCAGAGTTCTCAATCTCCAGCAACATGCCAGTGATCTTTCCGGCCAGGGCTGCGTGCATGCGCTCAATCATCGGATACAAGCGCTCGCCCAGGATCTGTTTCTGCTCCTGTGGCTTGGCATTGGCCAACAATGAGGCAATGAGCTTCTCAGAGTCTGAAAGGAGTGAGAATAGAAGTAATAACGCGTGTCCAGTCCACCAAGGTTGTTGTTCAACTTACTCTTTCCCTGCAACTGCTGCGGCATGGGCTGGGCCTGCTGCATCTGCTGCACCGGGGGATTGCGCATGTTCGATGTGTACTTGTAGCTGGGACCACGCTGCTGGGCACCGCCAGCAATCTGGGCACCAGCGATTTGCAAGTTGGTGGCAGCCACTGTCTGCTGGCCGGTGATGGCTCTGGCTCCAGTGTTGCGCATGTTGTTGGCAGCCGCGGCAGCAGCGGCGGCATGCGTGCCCTGCACCTGCTGTGGCTGGGCACCACGTGCACCGGCTGCAGCCGAACGGAACTGTGTGGGCACCGCTCCGGCTGCACCCTGGAAGCCTCCAGCAGCGGCGGCGGCAGCGCCGGCCTGCACGCTCTGCACGGTGGCAGCTGGGCGTACCTGAGGAGCCCAGCGAGGGGCGTTGCGCATTTGGGCTGGCATCTGGGGACCGAAGAAGCGCTGGCCCGGAGGTATGGTCGGGACAAAGAAGCCGCCAGTGGTGTTGGGCTGGAACATCTGTCCAAGCTGCTGCATGCGCATGCCGGTCATGTGGCGCATGTACTGTGAGGCGAGGTGAGCCTTGCGCTCCTCCTTCCTCTGGGCCAGGGCCACGTACAGAGGCTTGCTTCCGATCACGCGGCCATTCAGTTCTGTCACAGCGCATGTGGCTTCATTGGGCGAAATGAAGCAGACGAAGCCAAAGCCCTTGGAGCGGCCCTCCTCGTCGGTCATGACCTTGGCCGAGGTAATTGTGCCGTACAAGGAGAACTCCTTGCGCAGACGCTCATCGTCAATTGTGTCGTCCAAGTTCTTGACGTACAAGTTGACGCCAAAGACAGAGTCGTGACGCTTCTTCTTCAGCTCCTCGAACTTGCGCTTTAGCTCCTGCTGGCGCTCAGCCTTTTTCTGGGCGCGAGCCACATACAGGGATTTGCTCTCGCCCATATCCTTGCCGTTGAGGGCCTGAACGGCGGCTTCAGCTGCCTCTGTTGTTTCGTAGGCCACGAATCCGAAGCCCTTGCTTTTGCCATCTTCCTTAGACATGACCTACAAAGGGAAATGGAATTAGAATTGGATACGATACGGATAAGCCGTTGGCGGATACACTTACCTTATAGCTGGTGATCTTTCCATATGGCTCAAAGAATTCCTTGAGCTTCTCGTCGTCAAACTCTTCGGTGAAGTTCTTCACGTAGACGTTGGTGAAGAGTTTGGCCTTCTCGCCCAGCTCCTTCTCGCGCTCCTTGCGAGGAATGAATTTGCCCACGTAAACCTTCTTGCCGTTGAGCAACATGCCGTTGACTCTGTCGATGGACATGTTTGCTGCCTCCTCAGTCTCGAAATGGACAAAGCCATAGCCCTTGGAATTGCCCTTCTCATCGATGGCGACCTTGCAGCTCAGAATATTGCCGAAGGCGGAGAAAGTGTCGTAAATGGCTTTGTTATCGATGCCCTTGTCCAAGTTCTTGATGAACACATTGCCAACGCCGGAGCGGCGCAGTGAGGGATCGCGCTGAGACCACATTATGCGAATGGGTTTGTTGCGGATCAAGTCGAAATTCATTGTGTCCAGAGCACGTTCAGCTGTGAATGAAATAACGTGATAGTTTCAACTTTATTATCTTCTGATCCAAAAGTCAAAGAATATTGTAAATGACATTTGGTGCTCTTGTGACTCTTCTACTTCTGCCCCGGCTATGCTCGAAAGCAGCCTAGTGCATGGTAAGTCAAGCCTGGACTTTAATCTGGCAACTTTGAATCTTAGTCGGATCAACGAGGGTTACTAGATTGACCAACCAATGGGTAGAAGTTGCTATTATTCCGGATATAGGTACTACAGGATACTCTGTGTAATGCCACCTGCTGGCCCCTCTGGTCCCGGCCGTCGGTCCCTGCCCCGGGTCCCCTATCTGTCGTGGCTAAGGCCCATCTACTGGTAAGTCGCTTCCCCTCTGGCAACTTTGAATCTTAGTCGGATCAACGAGGGTTACTAGTTTGACCAACCAATGGGTAGAAGTTGCTATTATTCCGGATATAGGTACTACATAATACTCTGAATGTAATGCTTCTACTTCTGTCGATGGCATAAGGACCCATCTACATGGTAAGTCGCTTTCCTTCCTCTGGCAACTTTGAATCTTAGTCGGATCAACGAGGGTTACTAGTTTGACCAACCAATGGGTAGAAGTTGCTATTATTCCGGATATAGGTACTACATAATACTCTGAATGTAATGCTTCTACTTCTGTCGATGGCATAAGGACCCATCTACATGGTAAGTCGCTTTCCTTCCTCTGGCAACTTTGAATCTTAGTCGGATCAACGAGGGTTACTAGTTTGACCAACCAATGGGTAGAAGTTGCTATTATTCCGGATATAGGTACTACATAATACTCTGAATGTAATGCTTCTACTTCTGTCGATGGCATAAGGACCCATCTACATGGTAAGTCGCTTTCCTTCCTCTGGCAACTTTGAATCTTAGTCGGATCAACGAGGGTTACTAGTTTGACCAACCAATGGGTAGAAGTTGCTATTTATTATTTATTACTATTATTTAGCAGGACCAACCCATTGCCGCCTCGCCCTAACCTCCCATTAGGAGTTCAGTAAACTGGTTGGAATGCTCCAAGCTTTCACAGAGCAACGTAATCAGTGCCATTCCCTCCCCCTCGAGCTCAGCGCCCATT